GCTAATCTTATTCCTTTACTTTGTGAACAGGTCCCCTCCCCTCACAATGCTCTTCCTCTGTGCTACCAAATTTGCTGCCTCCACCCCTTCATCCTGTACGGGCATCACCTCTTTCCTGAGCAGTGACTCAAGTCCTCTGCCAAAGGTGCCAGCTACCAGTTCAGAAGCTAAGGCCACCACTAAGAAGGCAGCTGCCTCTTTGGAGTCATTCTTCCAAAAAGCTGCTGAAAAGCAGAAAGCCAAAGAAGCCTCCTGCCCGGCTGCCGCTGGCCAGGCTCTCACAAGCAGCCTACCCCACAAGCCGCCCTTGTCGCCTTTCCAGACCAGTCAAGGGACAGGAACAGAACCGGTTTTTAAGCAAAAGAGCCTGCTGCTACAACCAGAACAACTTAATCACTCTTCGCTCTGTCTCTCTCCCGAGGAGGACCCTCAGTCTGATGGCAGTGCGCTACCTGCAGGTGATCCCCACTGCACCCCTGCTTGTGAAGGGGTGTCTTCCAGAGCTATTCCTGCGCCGCTGGATCTGTCCCAGAGTAGCTCTGGGCTCCAGTCCGCCCCGGTGGCCACATGTACTCTGGAAGGGGCTTTGAGTGAAGTCCCTGCCCAAAGTCTGCTCACTGCCGAGGACCAAGTGGCCTGTGACAGGTGTGGCTCCCTGGTGTCTGCATGGGAGATGCCAGAACACCTGGACTATCACTTTGCCTTGGAACTCCAAAACTCTTTCCTGCAGCCCCAGCTGGCTTCTGTCACTTCTCCTCAACGCAAAAGAAATCCCAAGAGTCCAGTGGCTTCTGGAAGTAAGCGCCCTAGGTCTCAAGGGATGCAAACATTGGAGTCCTTTTTTAAACCAGTAGCACACTAGTGCTGCCCTCAAGCTGTGCTGCAGGAAATGAATGTTCCACTTGTTACCCTGAAACATTGAAATATGCTCAGTTAAACACCCGGAGGATGATGCAACTTTGAGTGCAAGATGAAGGTTTCCATGTCTTCCCAGGCACCAGTTCTAATCCCAGTGCTTGTAGAGTTGGAGAAGTGCCTGCATACCTCCCTCGGCAGTTTTCCCCTTGGCTTTGAGGGAGACCGTGTCCTTTGTTACAGCGGAAGCCTCGCCTGGGACCTTAATCAAGTCACTGTCTTCATTTCCTCCACAAAGACCTTATAGATGATTGATTTAAAGCACCTCACTTACTGTTGGCATCCAAAAGGATAACTTCTAACTTATTTTAAAAATGAGTTAAAAACTTTTTAAAAGATATTTTTTAAGAAACTTCTAAACTTTTAACTTTTTTAAAACGTTTAAAAAAAAAAAACGTTAAAAACGTTAAAAAAAATTTGACTTGAAAGGCAGAGTGAAAACAGAGAGATCTTCCATCTTCTGGCTTAGTGCCCAAATGGCTGCAGCAGCTGAGACTGAGCCAGACCCAAGCCAGGAGCCTGGGACTCCCTCCCACGTGGATGGCGGCAGCCCAGTCAGCTGCTGCTGCTTTCCCAGGTGCATTAACAGGGAGTTAGACTGGAAGTGGTGAGCCAGGACTCCAAAGTGGGTTTGCCTATGTAGCCGCTGACAGATTAATGTGCTGTGCCAACACTGTCCCCAAAATAATTATTATTAAAAACAAAACAAAGAGGGCCCAGCAGCGTGGCCTAGCGGCTAAAAGTCCTCACCTTGAACATGCCGGGATCCCATATGGGCGCTGGTTCCAACCCCAGCAGCTCCACTTTCCCATCCAGCTCCCTGCTTGTGGCCTGGGAAAGCAGTCGAGAACAGCCCAATGCTTTGGGACCCTGCACCCGTGTGGGAGACCTGGAAGAAGTTCCTGGATCCTGGCTTCAGATCGGCATAGCACCAGCCGTTGCGCTCACTTGGGGAGTGAATCATCGGACAGAAGATCTTCCTCTCTTTCTCTCCTCCTCTCTGTATATCTGACTTTCCAATAAATAAATAAATCTTTAAAAAAAAAAAAAAAACAAAACAAAAACAAAGAACTTGTACATTTATGACAGGCAGTTCAGACAGTGCCCTGACCACAATTTTATATCTTCACTGAAGCCTGGAGAGCTGAAAGTCATGTGGTAACTAGTTAGATCAGAGCTCTGCATTGAAAGGCTACACAGTAAACACTGGATTTCATGAAAATAAACCTTGTAATATTATTCGTTTCAGCTATTGGCCCTTCTGCTCCTGCACTAAAGTCTGTTTACTGGGGTTAAGTCATGATTAGAATGCATCCTCTCGGGCCCGGCGCTGTGGCGCAAGTGGTTAAGGTCCTCGCCTTGCACGCCCGGGATCCCATATGGGCGCCGGTTCTAATCCCGGCAGCCCCGCTTCCCTTCCAGCTCCCTGCCTGTGGCCTGGGAAAGCAGTCGAGGACGTCCTAAAGCTTTGGGAACCTGCACCCGCGTGGGAGACCCGGAAGAGGCTCCTGGCTTCGGATCGGCATAGTATCGGCCCGTTGCGCTCACTTGGGGAGTGAATCATCGGACGGAAGATCTTCCTCTCTGTCTCTCCTCTCTGTATATCCGCCTTTCCAATGAAAAAATAATAAAAATAAATCTTTAAAAAAAAAAAAAAAAGAATGCATCCTCTCTAGAACTCTGCTATTCCAGCCATGTCCTGAGCAGTGGCCACATCAGGAGACTTGGTAGGCAAGCGTGATGACCACTCCCATACAGAAATTACCTCGGCCTCCCCAACATACCTGCTCAGCCTGCAGCTGCTACGAACAAAGCTCCCTGATGTGAACCTTCAAATTTGATAGATATTGGTCTACGAGATACCAAAGGTCAGGTTTGGTGAGGATGCTGAGAACACTTGAAGCCTCAGAGTACAAAGGGGCAGGTGCATGGGGCTCTAGGATCTCTAGCATTATCACCTGGCTCCCAGTTAGTCTGGTATATTCACGATGCTGTGGTTTTTGCACTTGGTCCACGCCTGTGGAGTCTTTCACCTCCACTCTGCAGGAAGGCGATTTTTCTGGCTTTTCTCCTATGGGGACCCGTGGATTCCTTGTGGAATTCTAGAGAGCAATGCTAGGTATAGTAGGTTAAATGTGTCAGGAAAAATAGTATTCATACCCCTTCTGCACATGGCTGTTTTTCAATTAGGGGCATTTCATGTGAAGAATGGCAGAAGCTACTAGGAATAGCAGGGAAATCTTTTTTTCCCCTTCAATGGTATTTTCTACTGTTATAGCACTTAGAATAAAAGACTAATTCATTATGTATTGGTCTTTACTGGACTTGTAGCTTGTTAAAAGCAAGATTTCTTCACAATGCTTTGTACATAACAATGTTTGATAAGTATGTAGTGAAAAGCCCTAGGTCTGATTAACATAACTGGGAATATAAAAATGTATGAATTCCTTAGGGGGCTGCCTCAAACACCCTTTTACTCCCTGTGCCAGAGCGGTAAGGAAACTCCCTTTCACACTCTTGGAAACAATGTCACGTCTAATTATGCTTTGCTAGGGTCAGTGCTTAAAATCCAGGTCCTGTTTGCAGCTGGCTGTGTTTTTTTTGTTTTTTTTTAAGTGACAAAGGGACAGTGAGGGGTATCTTCACTCCCCAGTAGCTATAGCAGCTGGGGCTGGTCCAGGGGGAAGCCAAGAACCTGGAACTCCATCAGGACATCCCACTTGACAGGGATCCTAGCACTTGGGCCATTTGCTGCCCTGCCAGGTGCATTAGCAGGAAGCTGGGACTCAGACCAGTGCTCTGATATTGGGGTGCTGGTGTAGGTCACTGCACCAACATGCCAGCCCCTCTCATTTCTGCACCTCTAAAATGGGACAGGCAGTCTAAGCATGGAAACAGGAGGATGGACTAAGGTTAGGTCAGGCTAAGGATGTGCTGTACAAACCTGGAAAGCTACTCCAGGTAGCTGCCAGGGTGGAGGAAGGACGCTGTCCCAAGGCTGCCTGTGAGTAAGCAGCCGATTCCCCAAGGACAGAACAGCTATCTACCAGGACTATCTCAGTTTCACTTTCAAAGAACTTGCTGCATTAACAGGCCAGAACACTTGGCCCTCACTCTGGAACACAGATCCTCTGTGGCCAAAGTGACACCAGCTTAGCTGGCTTCTTCCCCCACTCAGGACTCGGGGTGTTAGGGAGAAATCTATTTCTGGAAGTGGAATCTTCAATACAAGTTCAGTGTAGTCAATAAAACATTTTTATTCTGTACAATATATATGTGTATTTAAATATATATACATATCTATATACATATATATGCAGAGAAACCTCAATCAAATCCCTGAGTCCACAGGAACCCAGGAAGCTACCACAGGGGAAGGCTGGTGTGGGCATGAAGAGAAGCCAACGTGGCCATAGCGTGCCTTTCCCCTTTCCTCCTGGCTCGCAGCAGCTAGGGAAGCTGGGGGTGGGGGCAGTGGAGTGCAGCACAGGGAGCCACGGGGCAGTCCCCAGCCACCAGCTGGGCAAGGAGTGCCTACTGTGAGATCCCTCAGGGAAGCCACCAAATGGCTGTAGAGGAGTATGTGGGGATAAAAGACGTGCAGCTGACCTTTGGTGTGCCAGGCCTGAGCTTGGCAGCCCCACGCCGGGGCCAGCACAACAGATAGCACCTGTGGGGCTTGTGAGGCAAGGAGATGGGAGATGGCCCTGGAGTAGGGAAGGGAGAGGAGGATGGAGCTGATGAGTCGGCCCGGGGCCTCCGCACGGGAACAGAACGCTGGCACTGACTGCCATCTCTTCAGACCCCTGGGCTGGCAGCCAGGCAGCTACAGGTATGTTTGTCCACAGTCAGTCGGAGATGGGCAACTTAACATGGCCTTGAGACGAGGTATAGAACAAGGAGTGCTTTCAGGGGCCACCCCAGTGGTGAGGATTCCTGGAGTATAGAGATGACACTTGGCATTGTCGCCTAGTCCCAGTGGGAGTGTCAAGGTGACTGCTCAGCTCTTGCTGGCAGACAGGCCACAGCATTGCCAGGCTGGTGAATTGGCCAGGTGGGTGCACAGCTTTAGAGCACTGCCTGTGTTTTGGTCTTCTCCATTGCGACCACTCCCGTCTGGCCACACCAAGCTTGGCACCTCTCCAGAAAGGGTAGGCAGGAAGCAGATGGCATAGTACCCCTGACTCCCTCGCCTAACAACACACACAGCCGCCAACCGAGGGCAGCAGGGCCGGAAGTCACCTTATGTATTGTCGGGACAGCGGGAGTGCTGCCGCTGTCTGGAGGGTTCAGAAGCCCAGGGTGGCTTGTGCTTCTCCTGCAGCGATGGCCTGCACATCTGTGACATGACCGATGCCTTTGGTGACACCCTCCCGGAACAGCAGTTTGGCGCCCACCTTCAGATACTCTGGGTGCTTCAGGAAGCGGAACCGTACCACTGCCTTCTCCCCCGTCCGCAGCTTGTCCTGCAGTGACAGACTGATCACCGGCCTGGCCTGGTCCTCCCCGTCCCAGAGTCTCAGGGCTTCTCTCTGCCAAGCCTGGGGCCTGGCTGCCCTCCCCTCCCAAGGCAGGAGCAGGCCTGCCCCTTCAGGGATGGGAGCCTACTAGTGGGGGCCCACTCACCTTGGCATGGATCTTTTCCACCACTGCCGTCTGACGGACGTTGCCCACGTGTACTGTCACCTGGAATCCCCGTCGGAAGGTGGTGGCGTGGAAGAGGAGGACAATCTCGGCTTCAAACACTGAGCAGATGGTGGGGTTCATCTCAGGGCTCACCATCACCATGCCCTGAGGAGAAATGGCCCCCAGCCCAGCAGGGGCCAGCCTCACCTCAGGCTCTGCCTCTGACCTCCAGCCCCTGCCTTTTCCATCCTTCTCCGTGACTCCCCAACACGAAGGCCTTGGGAGCAAACACTCCAAGCCTGAGCCCTTCATTCCCCACCTCATGTTCCTCTCACCCGCCTTGTGTATTTTTAGCATGGGGCACTAAGGAGCTTCCTGCTGGGCAGTGAGCTCCCCTGGGGCCCTCAGGCTGCTCCCAGGCAGGCTGCTTGTCCAGACCAGCTCTCCTTCAGGTTTGGATGGGCACCCCAAAAGTATCTCATTTAGCAGCCAAAGTCCTAGATATGTCCCTCCAACCCACCCAGCCCCCTGGGCTGGCTCACCTTCCGGAGTAACGCACGGTCAAAGTCACCGAGGGCCAGTGTGGCGGCCTGGCCGGCTCGTAGCACCCGGCAGGCAGAGCGGTTGCGCTGGATGCTGCACACCCTCAGTTCCAGGAAACAGCCATCGTCGGTTGGACCCACCACCAGCTGGTCGCCCTCACGGCAAATCCCACTGTGGTCCAGGGGGCAGGGGGCACAGTGTCAGCCTTGCTCCCCCCGAATTCTCTGCTTAGAGCATTCCATCCTTTCTGGGGTTTGAGCCCCTTGAGTGAGGATAAGGGGTGGGGGAATGGTGGCCTTAAAAGGCACCTGCTGGTTTGACATTACCTAACACTAGATCCCTGAAGTAGCAAAACATTCCCCCTTGGGGTTCATCCTTTCTCAGGCCCTCTCCTTTCCCTACTTGGAGATGCAATCACAGCCAGATACACACAAGTTACTTCCCAGAGTCCAAGTCCCATACCTCTCCCCTCAGGGGACAGCAGAGATACGGTTTTTCCTGCAAACCATCACACTCTAGCTTCCTGCAGATGCTCTAGCTCTCTGCTCTGCATCAAGTGCATTCTGTGTGTTGTCAAAGCTCAGCAGGATGGATAGGAAGCAAAGCCATTCACCTGGAAAGTGTCCCTCCAACAACAGTCCCCACCTCTGGCACCGTGTAGATTTCATCCACCTGAAGTCAAAGAAAACACTACCAGGGACCTGCCAAGGAGGGCCGCCGGGTCTCAGATGCCAACAGTGACCACGGCCTTAGAATGAGCCCTCCCCGTCCCACAGCCTGCAACCCATCAGGCCGACCAGCTACCTGGAACTCTGTCAACTGCTGCATGAGCTCCTCCTGCTCCTTGCTGTTGGTCAGGGGCGGAAGGATGTTCAGAAAGACTTTAAGGAGGTCCAGACCCTCTCCAGACACACTGGACAGTGTGAAGATGGGGGTGATGCTGCCAAAGGAGCCAAGGAAGGACACATGGAGAAAACCCAAATGGGTTAGAGGCCAGGGGCCCACGGGAAAAGATCCGCTTTCTTCTGGACACCCAGGGACCCCCTTCCCCAACTGCTAATGGCTTAGGAGCTTGGGGCCCTCTCTCTGTGAGAGACAGCCGAGAAGTGAGCCACAGGTAACCCGTCCCCAGGCCATGGGAGACAGAATGCTGCCCTTCATCTCCAGGATCCTCTGCAGCAAAGATTCCCATGAGGCCAAGTTTAAAAGGCCCCATGGAACTGACCCAGAATCGGTCACACCTCTGGGTCCCTGGGCCCTGCAGATCCCGGCTCTAGCATGAGGCAAGCTTACTTGGGTGACTGGGCAAACTGCTGAGCGGCAGTAACAGCATCATCCTCGGAGGTGACCAGCATGGGGACCTTGTGGCAGCCTGGCTGCTTCAGGACTCGCTCCAGCTGGCGAACTGTCCTCTCCACTGTGGTCTTGGCACACAGGTCCACCTTGCTGACCACAATGAAGAAGGGTACTTTCAGGGCTAGGGCCAAGCCCAGGTGTTCCCTCGTGGTGCCGGCTGCCTCAGAGAAAAGGAAGGCAGCAGGTGGCAAGAGTGAGACCATGGTTAGCGAGGAGTGGCTGGCATCCCAACAGCCTAGCCCCAGCGGCTCGTACCGATGCCTGTGTTGGCACTGACGAGGAGCAGGGCGCAGTCGGGACAGTAGGAGGTGAGGCCAAAGATGGTGGTGTGGAGGTACTTGTGGTGGCCAGCCAGGTCGATGAAGGTGATCATCTTGGAGCTGCTCTCACAGATTTCCTCTGCCGTCCGGGAGTCACTGTAATTCACCACCTGGCCCAGGACCCAGGGTTCTCAGCACCCCTCGCCAGGCTCCCCGGCCCTCAGGAATGGCCATGACCTAAAGCTAGTCAGTCCCTGGGTGACCCTGCCTTGGAATCCTGAGACCCATTTCTTACTGAACTCTGGGTAACCCCTATCTACTTCCTAGGGGCATGAAGTTTCCACACTCTGCCCCAAGCATCCCGTGCTCAGCGTCTTGCCCCGCTGGCTCCCACTGAGCCCACACACCTCACCCTTGCTGTTAAAGCCCAGGATCTCGAAGCTGATGCTAGATGTTCGGCCAGACTGAATCTCATGCAGGTGGCGGAAAAGGTTGAGCCGGGCCCGGCCCCGCCCATTGTCCAGCTCCCCCTGGGTCAGGACTCCAAGCAGAGTTGACTTCCCTGAGTCCACGTTGCCCAGGACGGCTACACGGAGGTCTAGGAACTGGGGGAAGAATAGCCAGACATGAGGACTCGGTTCCTCACTTTTCACTGCAAGCTTGTTCGAGGGCAGTGACAGTCCCTGAGGAGCAGGTGATGACCTGGACTACTCCGAGCGCCCCAGACGAGGGGGAGAGGAGGAAGATTCTGCCCAACGGGCTGTACTTACCTGCTGGTTGTCTGGGACCTTTCGAACCAGTACCTCGGTGATCTTCCGGGGTGTGTCACTGTCATAATCCACTTCTCGCTCCCGAAGAACAGTGATGTCCGCCCCGACCCTGTCACCAAAAAGCCACCGCTGCCGATCTCCCCTGCCAACTCAGCTGGACACTAGGGACCTTCTGTACCTCCTGACACCTTACAGCACTTGCCCTGACCCTCTGGCCCACTCCCCAACACTCCCCCAATCCAAATAAACACATCTCAAATCAAGCAGCAAGAAGCCGAACCCTAACCCTAACCCTGCAGCCTGCAGCTCGGCTGGCTGGAAAGGCCAGGCAGAAAGCCCCACCTCAGCCCCTTGGCCCCTGGGTACACACAAAGACTCGGGGGGAAGGGACCGCATACTTCTCTGCCATCCGGTGCAGAGTTTTCAGGGAGGCCCGCATCTCCTCCTCGGCCAGCCCCACCAGCAGCCCGTTGTCCTCCACCCCTATCTGGTAGACAGCCTCACCACGGCCTTCCTGGAGCCGCCACTTCATTTGTGTTACCAGGTGCTCGAAGCGGTACTGGGATGGATTCACCAGCTTCAACTTGGGGCAGAGACAGCAACAAGGTGAAATCAGAGGTGTTCCTGCCAACCCCAAGTGCCACCCACCGGTCCCCTGGTTGCCAGAGCCGGCACCTTTTCTTCCCACTGAAACCCCACAATCCCTGCACCCCTAACAATGAATTGCCTCCCAACAGGACGAGGTCCAGAGCCCTCAGACTGTACAACAGCCCTGACTTCCTATAGGCCAGGAAGCTGGAAGGACTTCTGAGAAATCATCCCACATGGTCATTCTTGGTGGCAAAGACAAACAAACCCACCCCCTGCTCCTCCAGCCTGAGACTCACTTTGTACTCGATGTTTCCATCCTCAGCCTGAAAAGAAACAGGAATGGTTACTGCCCATCCTTACTTCCCCTCACCACCCACAGAGGGAAGCCCCAGGGGCACCTGCTCTGGCAAGTCCCAAAGGTGACTGGATGGCAGAGGTCCTTCTTTTTGTCCACCCTCCGCCAGCCTGTTGAAGATCACCCCTTCCCTCCCATCACCCCCCCTAACCACAGGCCCAGCTGTTTCTGTCTCCTCCACAGCCACCGGGGCCAAGTCTTTTCTTTGGCCAGTGGAAAAGACTTGGCCCCCAGTCGGGTCAACAGCATTTCCTTCCTGCCTGGCCCCCGTTGGCTGATGTCACCCAGAGCCCAAGGCTGCAAGAGGTTCTGGGCCAGGGCCAAAGGGTGAGCTCAGCAGTGGCCACTCTGTACCCGATGGGCGAGGCGCCCCAGGTGAGAGCCGAACGGTAGGTGCCAAGGCCAGGGTGGGGGAAGGGGAAGGGGAGGTAAACAAAAGCAGCTCCAAAGTGCAACACAGGTGGTAGATTCCAAAAACCACACTTGCCATGACCCTTACCTCTGGGCCCTTCAGCTGAAGTGACCTTCTGAGTCCAACCCAGCCCCCACTTCTAGCTCCTCTAGGTGGTAGCACCCCACAGAAGCAGCTGTTGCCTGAACTTTCCACTCTCAGGTGCAAAGGGGCCCTGGATCTGCTGGGCTGGTTGTGCTGGTTGGCACTTCCGTGCCTCTCCTTTCTGGTCACTGCTTGATGTCACCGTTCATCCCTCCCAAACCTTCAGGCTCCCAGGCTTTAGAAGGTCTAGAACCCCTTCTCCCAGCTGACTTCAGAAAACTAAGCCAACGGTTCCCAAAGGTTGCTCCCAGGACCAGCAGCGTCAGAAACAGAACTTGTCAGAAATGCACAGTCCTCAGCAGGGTCCCTCGCAGGTCCTTAGAAATTCGAGGGAGGTGGGGAGAACCCAGGTGACTGTCACAAGTTTGATGAACCACTGATTTTAGGCTGTTTCCCTTGGTCCCCCTGTCCCAAGAGGGAGGGACAAAGCGGAAGTCAGTTTGTGCCTTTAGAACAGACAGAGCAAGTTTGTGGGGGCGCTTCTCTCCGCCAAACCCCCCTCACAGAGCTGGCAAGGTGGACCTGTGCGTGTGTGTGCACACACTGAGGCTGCGGCGGGAACACAGCGCTGCTTTCAGTGCTACCCGCTCCCTGCGCAGCAAGTTGAGCCAAGTGCCCGTGACACTGCCCGCTCCCTCACAGGCAAGGGGGTCAGGCGTTCTGCTCGGCGAACCCCCCAGTAGACTGGGGTCCCCGGTCCCCAAATCTCCCTCCCCACCTCCTCGAGGAGGTGCCGACATTGAAGGGGAGGTTCTCGCAGGCCCCTCCTCTCTGGGGGTCCAGGCACCGGAAGGAGGGGGTTCTCCTCCCGCACCCCCCTCCTCCCTGGGATGGGGGGAGCTGTACTGACATCGGAAAAGGGGATGAATTCTCTCTCGGTCCCCACTTCCCTGGCATCCCGGAGCCGGAAGGGGTGGTCTCCTTTCGGCCCCGCCACTTCGCAAGGGGCTCACCTCGGGAGGCAGGTACGGGGGATTGTTAGCCTTGCCCGCTCGGTTCCTTCCGTTCTTCTTCTTCCCCTTCGGGCCCCCGCAGCCGCTGCTGCCGCCGGCCCCCCTAGCCTTGAGGGCTCCGCCCATGGCCGGGCCCCCTCCGGGCCGGCAGCAGCCGCCGAACAGCTCCGATACCCGCGAGTCCATCGGCCGCGGCCGCCAGCCCCCGCCCGGCCCCTCCCCCCCGCCGCCGCCGCCGCCCCTACGGCCACCGGCGCCGCGTCGGGCCAGCCGGAGGAGAGCGGGGTGGGACCCGGCGCTGGCCACGCCCCCGCCTGTCCGGCCTCCGGGCGCGCGTCAGAGGCCGCCGCGGAGCACCACGGGATACCGAGTCCGCAGGTCTGGCATCCTGCTGGAAAGAGCAGGGCCGCCGCCCTACAACTCCCAGGAGGCATCGCGGCGCAGGGTCGCGGTAGTTCAGGGCGTGGATCAGACCGCGCCTTTGCGTGCCCTACCGAGCGGCTGTCGTTCCCGGGCCTGAGGGATGACGACGGCCACTGTCCGCTTCGGGCTCTGTGGGCGTCCCTCAAGCGTTTACGCTAGTAGCTAGAGAGCTGCAGAATTTAGAATTCCTGGGCGACTTCAGCTTGCCTGCTGTTCCCTTAGTTTCTTCCCCGATTGCCGGCGTGCTGTCGGGGGTGAGTCAGAGCGAACGCCAGGGCGGAGGCGGATGGTGGTTGAGCTAATTATGGCTGTTATTGTTGCGATGATGATGCCACCTTTACATAGTAGTCACTGCTTTATGACCAGGCTGGCCCCGTCCGAGGATTGGCTTTTGGCTGCCCCAGGCACCGCCGTGACCCGACACGAGACTTGAACCTATAAACTTGCTTGCTCCCCTAGGGCTGCGAGAAGACCCGTGGCGCGTCTTTCCCCTCCCCGCCCCTTTGTTTTGAAGCGGAACCAATAGGGGAAGCTGAGTTTGATTTTTAAAACCTCCAGGGTTTTCAGGAGGGGCCTGGCCCTCCGTTGGGGGCGGGGCTGGGACTAGGGTTTCTCCAGCCACCCTAGAAGGGCGGGGGAAGTGGCCAAGAATAGAAACTTGGTCCTGGGCCCCAGGGAGACTGTTTACTTTTTTTTTTTTTCCCCTTTTTTTGCCTTTCTTGCAGAGTTATCTCTTCTTTATTTCTGGTCTCTTTTCGCATCGTCCACAATAAACACTTTGGTGACAGACGGGGACCCCAGACACCACCAGGGCGGGGCCGCGTGGCTGGTGGCATTGTGCAGGTGAGAGTCAAGACGCTTAGGGTCTATTTCTCCCCAGCTCCCATAAATCACGATATACACATTTCCCCTCTCGTCCCCAATTTGGACGTGTCTGGACCGAAGCAGAAATGAAAAACACCTGTTCCCTCCAGACTCCAATCTTACCTCTGGCGATTCCTGCAGAGGTTCAGACCTGGTGGAGGTCATGGCTTCCTGCCGGGGCCACACGGAGGCAGGCAGGTGCTCTACTGGTGTGTGGCCGTCCTCTGCCTTGGCATCACTCCCCAAAGCAGTGAGAGCAGAAAAGACCACAATCTGCATAAGGACCCAACAGGGCCAGCCAATTGGGTAGGTCTTCAGGGGTAGCAAGCGCAAGGAAGTTTTCTCAGTGTCGAGGGAGAGGTTGTGTGTCCAAGGTCCACCCCAATGCTGCTGCTGAGAGACAGACTAAAGAATTGAGTGAGCCGTCTCAAGAAGGCAGAGGACTGGAAGGGAGCGATAAGACCATCCCCCTGTATTCTCTCTACCACCAGTTCCAGGCCCACTTGACAACCAGAGAGAGCCTGCTGCTCTTGAATGATAATAGTTGCCTTTCATCCACATGGGTCTTTCAACAACCAATCCCAACACACACATGCAATTTCACTGCCACCCTCCCAATCCCCAGGTCTCCTAAATGGAGAGAGTCTTTTAAAACAGATGGAAAGGGATAACCACTTTGTTCTCCCCTCTTGACCACCTGGCCTACCACAGATAGGAGTGAGGGCTGGCAGAGAAGGCTGAGCAAGCGAGTTGGTGCAGTAACCCGGGGCCCCGGGGTGTGCAAGCTGCTGTCTGTGCTGTTTCCTGCAGGGGTTGCTGAGGAGGCGCTGTGGTGTGCTTGGCTGTGGGATGTATATATATACATTAAGGAGGCACACCCCCAGGTCACATGAATACATTTTTTCCTGGTATGTCATTAGTCACTTATTGTTGTGTAGAGTATTTTGCAGATGTTTAAGTTCAAACTGAGCAACTTTTCCTTTGGAGAGCCTAAGGGTTTCCTATGATCCCTTAACCCAACTCAACGCCTGGGTTATCCATTATTCCCCAGTGTTTTCTTCTAGGAAGTTTCATATTTGTTAAGAGTCACCTTATTTTTATTTGAAAGACAGAGTTAGACAAGGAGAGACTGAGAGACATCTTCCATCCACTGGTTCACTCCCCACGTAGCCACTCCCCAATTAGCCTCTCATGTGGTTGCAAGGGCCCAAGCATTTGAACCATCCTAAGCCGCTTTCTCAGCTACATGAGCTGGAAGCTGTATTAGAAGTGGCAGAGCCTGGACTTAATAGGTACCATTTTTAGTTGCCAGCATCACAGGTAGCATTACCCACTGATCCACAATGCCGGCTGTGTTTAAATCTTTAATCCATTTGGAATCTATTTCTTTTTTGGGATATTCAAAGGAACTGATTTGATTTATTTCCTTAAAGGATAGGATGATATCTCAAGTTATTTCCTTTAAAAAGTAGCTATCATTAGGCCTGATGTAATAGCTACAATGCTATTGCAATGGCTTAATGGCTAAATTCTCACCTTGCAAGCACCAGCATCCTATATGGGTGCTGGTTCTTGTCCCGATTGGTCCACTTCCCATTCAGCTCCCTGATTGTGACTTGAGAAAGCAGTTGAGGATACCCCAAAGCCTTAGGACCCTGTACCCATGTGGGAGACCCAGAAGCAGCTCCTGGCTTCAGATTAGTTCAGTTGCATTTGGGGGAGTGAACTAGCAGATGAAAGGTCTTTCTCTGTCTCCCTTCTCTAAATCTGCCTTTCCAATAAAAAATGAACAAATCTTTAAGTCACCATCGTTAGGGACCAGCACAATAGTGTAGTGGTTAAGGTCCACACCTTCAACACCCAGGATCCCATATGGGAGCCAGTTCTGATCCCGGCCAGCTCCACTTCCCATCCAGTTCCCTGTTTGTGGCCTGGGAAAGCAGTCGGGGACGGCCAAAAGCCTTGGGACCCTGCACCCATGTGGGAGACCTGGAAAGAAGTTCCTGGCTCCTGGCTTCAGATCAGCGCAGCACCAGCAATTGCGGCCACTTGGGGAGTGAATCATTGGACATCGGATGGAGGATCTTCCTCTCTGTCTCTCCTCATCTCTGTACATCTGTCTTTCCAATAAAATAAATAAATCTTTTTTTTAAAAAAAAGGCACCGGGCCCGGCGCGGTGGCGCAAGTGGTTAAAGTCCTCGCCTTGCCAAAGCCAACAGGGGAACGTGGGCACCCCTGCTGGATAACTACTTCCATTGGAAAGTGTGAATACGGATGGGGGCAGTTCAGACTAGGCAGGGCTATAGCACCTGTGGGCCTCACGGTGAGCTGTCTGTTCTGACTGGTGCAAGTTAAAATTAGAGTGGGTTGAGGGGTGTTTGGGCTTAGCCACAGCATTAGCTGGCAGAGGCTGGTACTAGGAGCCAATTCTGACAAGTCAAATGCCAAAACTACCTGGAGACTGCATACTCTAGGAGTGGGTGTGGCCTAGTAGGGAAATAGTGGGCACCTCCCTCAGGGTTACCACCCTCACTGGACAGCAGGAAACCCAGGCTAGGAGCAGGGGTGGCTTGACAGAAAGGCACCTGCCAGTGGGTGTATGGGCTGGATAATAGGTTGGTTGGGTTGAACCAGGCTTCAATGTCCATTGACGTGTGCGAGAGCTACTTGGGATGTGGGACAGACTGGACAAGCCTGCACTGCATACTGGCAAGCATGGGAACCAGGGTAGGGGGCAGAACTGGTAGGGGTTTTGGGGAGTCGCCTCAACTAGGCTGCAGCTCCAACTGGTTTGCATGAAGACCGAGTATGAAGTGGGTAGAATCGAGCTGGACTACAACACCCATTGGTTCACAAGGAAGACCGGGCTGGAAGCCGAACGGACCCAGTAATCGCAACGACCAGCATATGCATAAGCTGATTGGTGTGACGAACAGTGTTGGAGTCTGTACTAGCAAACTCACTCAAGAATCAGATCTGGGATCAACTCAGATGAAGTTTCTTTGGATATTTCTCCAACTGAACTGCTGATCTTGGAACCCCAACCATCAAGAGACTGTCAGCCAGTGGACTCTGAATAGGTTTCATTACGGTTGGGACGGAGAGATTGGCAGCAATCCAGAACTGATGAACTATCAAAACTGTATGAGCAGGACCCTTGGAGCGCGCCTCATGTTGGGGATGGGGGATGGGTGGGAGGTAGGGTGGGGCTTTCCCCTTTGTTACTCCCCTAACCCTACATACAGGGCAAAATGATTATATTAGTGTGGAAACAATGATATTACCCACTTTCACCCTGTAGCCCGTGACCCTTTGTACCCTAATAAACTAAGATTATTAAAAAAAAAAAAAAAAAGTCCTCACCTTGCACGCCCGGGATCCCATATGGGCGCCGGTTCTAATCCAGGCAGCCCCGCTTCCCTTCCAGCTCCCTGCCTGTGGCCTGGGAAAGCAGTCAAGGACGGCCCAAAGCTTTGGGACCCTGCACCCGTGTGGGAGACCCGGAAGAGGCTCCTGGCTTCGGATCGGCATAGTATCGGCCGTTGCGCTCACTTGGGGAGTGAATCATCGGACGGAAGATCTTCCTCTGTGTCTCTCCTCTCTGTATATCCGCCTTTCCAATAAAAAAAAAAAATCATAAAAATAAAAAAAAAGGCACCATCGTTAAAGTGATTTTAAAAATCACCATCATGACTTGAACAATCTAGATATGAGGGTACTTCAGAAAGCTCATGGAAATAAAATTGTAAGTTTAATATGGTTCAAAAATTTTTTGAAATCTCTGTAGTTTTTCACAATCAACATATTTTGCATGATTTTTAAAAAGATTTATTTATTCTTATTGGAAAGTCAGATATATAGAGAGGAGGAGAGACAGAGAAGAAGATGCTTTGTCTGATGATTTACTCCTCAAGTGACCGCAATGGCTGGTGCTGTGCCAATCTGAAGTCAGGAGCTCTTCCAGGTCTCCCACATGGGTGCAGGATCCCAAGGCTTTGGGCTGTCCTCGACTGCTTTCCCAGGCCACAAACAGGGAGCTGGATGGGAAGTGGAGCTGCTGGGACTAGAACTGGTGCCCATATGGGATCCTGGCACGTTCAAGGCAAGGACTTTAGCTGCTAGGCCACGGCACCAGGCCCTTGCATGCTTTTTTTTTTTAAAAGATTTATTTTTGTTTTTATCACAAAGTCAGATATACAGAGCGGAGGAGACAGAGAGGAAGATCTTCTGTCCGATGATTCACTCCCCAAGTGACTGCAATAGCCAGTGCTGCGCCGATCCGAATCAGGAGCAAGGAGCTCTTCCGCATCTCCCACACAGGTGCAGGGTTCCAAGGCTTCAGGCTGTCCTTGATTGCTTCCCAGGCCACAGGCAGGGAGCTGGAAGGAAAGTGGAGCTGCCGGGATTAGAACTGGCGCCCATGTGGGATCCCGCTGTGTGCAAGACAAGGACCTTAGCCGTAAGGCCACGCCACCGTGCCCTTGCATGATTTTTGTTTTTAAAGATTTATTTTTTATTGGAAAGGCGAATATACAGAGTGGAGGAGAAACAGAGAGGAAGATCTTCCGTCCGATGATTCCCTCCACAAGTGAGCGCAACAGCCAATGCTATGATGATCCGAAGCCAGGAGCCTCTTCGGGTCTCCCACATGGGGCAGGGTCCCAAAGCTTTGGGCCGTCCTTCCGGGCCACAGGTAGGGAGCTGGATGGGAAGTGGCGCCCATATGGGATCCCAGGCGTACAAGGCAAGGACCTTAAATACTGCGTCCTCGCGCCGGGCCCTTGCATGATTTGTTTTAAGATGCCTTAATATTTGTGCATTTTGAGGCCTTTCTTAGTTTTACTTATTTTCATTTTATTTGAAAATTAGAAAGTGTTTATCAGTTCACTTCCCAAGTGCCTACAACAGCCAGGGCTGTACCAAACTGGAGCCAGGAGCCCAGAACTCAGTCTAAGTCTCCTCTTTGGTGATGGGGGACCAAGGATTTCAACCATAATCTATTGCCTCCCTGGGTGCCTGTTAGCAGGAAGCTGGAGAGGAAACTGAAGCCAGGCCTTCATTATGGAACATGGGCATTCCAAGTAGCAGCTGTGTCACATGTCTGCTCCTGCCCCCAGTTATCAATATATTTTTTTTTGCTCCCAGGCAGACATCTTTGAATTCCACTTTCCACAAACACTTTGAAGTATGTACTATATAGATCTTAAAGCATAAATTTTCACTTGCTTATTTTCCAGAGGACATTATTTTCATCAGTTCTTAAAGGCCATGCTTCTTGCCTGGGCTTTGGTGGAGGTTGAGGAGCAGCACCAGCAGGTCTGAATTGGGGTGGTGGTGAGGTCTGGTCCTTCTGGGCTTCGTGAGATTGATTTCTTTTTTAAAGATCTATTTTTATTGCTAATTCATATATAAAGAGAGGAGGAGAGGCAGAGAGAAAGATTTTCCATCTGTTGATTCACTCCTCAAATAGCTGCAATGGCCAGAGCTGAGCCGATCTGAAGTCAGAAGCCAGGAGCTTCTTCCGGGTCTCCCAGGCAGATGCAGGGTCCCAAGACCTTGGGCCATCTTCGACTGCCCTCCCAGGCCACAAGCAGGGAGCTGGGTGGAAAGTGGGGCCACCAGGATTAGAATCAGTGCTGATTTGGGATCCCAGCAGATGCAAAGTGAGGATTTTAGCTGCTAGGCTACCGTGCCAGGCCTGATATTGATTTCTACCTGCTGTGCTGCAAACGGTATAATTCACACAGTAATGAAGTTTCACATGGGGAGCAAGTAGGCATCGGACATGTTTCCAAGATGTCCCTCATGGCCATGGCCCCCAGATGGACGATGAACTTCTTGATAACCTTGTCCTTGGGCACACACCCTGCGCAGCTGGTGCAGCAGATGGGCTACACGTGACCGCAGCCCTTTCTAGTACGACTGTTGTTCCTCCTCTTCATCATCCTGGAACCAAGAACCCCTGTGTATATGCTTATTTAAAAAAACTACTTATTTGTTTATTTGAAAGGCAGTTATTTAAAAAGAGAGAGGGAGAGGCAGAGAAAGAGAATCTTCCATCCACTGGTTTATTCTCCAATTTGACTGCAGCAGCCACAGCTACACCAGTCTGAAGCCAGGAGCTAGGAGCTTCTTCCAGGTCTCCCATATGGATTCAAGGGCCTAGTCACTTGAAACATCTCTGTTGCCTTTCTGGGTTCATTATCAGGGATCTGGGTCAGAAGTGAAGCAGCTGGGATTTGTACAGGCACGGTTAAGAGACACTAGTGTCATAGGCAGTGGCTATCCCCCCTCTTTTTTTCTTAAACATTTATTTTTATTGGAAAGTCAGATATACAGAGAGGAGGAAAGTCAGAGAGGAAGATCTTCCATCTGAAGACTCACTCCCCAAGTGACCACAATGGCCAGAACTGAGCCGATCCAAAGCCAGGATCCTCTTCCAGGCCTCCCACATGGATGCAGGGTCTCAAGGCTTAGGGCTATTCTCAGACTGCTTTCCCAGACCACAAGCAGGGAACTGGATGGGAAGTAGGGTCACTGGAATTAGAAATGGCAACCATATGGGATCCCGGCACATGCAAAGTGAGGACTTTAAGCCGCTAGCCTACCGTGCTGGGCCCTTCCTTTTTTTTTTTTTTTAACTTTGTTTATTTTTTAAGATTTATTTATCTAAACCTAGCAGGCAGGCTTATGCCTCTGCCTGTGAGGTCAGCATCCCCTGCCAGATACCAACTCAAGTACTGACTGTTCTGCTTAGGATCCACTTTTCTGCTAAGTTCCCCAACACAGATACCAAGTGGAATGACATCTTATGCAAAAAGGGCATCCTGCCCCCAAAGGAGGGTCTGAAAGAACTGGTAGCTAAGGTGGAAGAAGAAGAGCACAGGTTCTAGCAGTCAATGGTGAAACGTATGAAGATATGATGATGGAAGAATTGGAAGAAAATGAAGATGAATTTAATGAAGAGGATGAACATGCTATTGAAATGTACAGGTCGAGAACAGCTGAAAGCCTTGGGACTCTGTACCCCTGTGGGAAATTTGGGAGAGGCTCCTGGCTCCTGGCTTCTGATTGGCTCAGCTCTGGCTGTTGCAACAGCTTAGGGAGTGAATCAGCAGATGGAAGATCTTTCTGTCTCTCCTCTCTGTATGTCTGACTTTGCAATAAAAAATAAATAAATAGTTAAAAAAAATGTACAGGTGGCAAAGACTGGCTGAGAGTAGAGAGCAACTCAAAAAAATAATAACAAATTTGGAGAAGTTTTGGAGATTTCAGGAAAAGATTCTGTTCAAGAAGTTACCAAAGTTGGTGAAAGCTTATGGGTAATCCTGCACCTGTATAAGCAAGGGATTCCCCTCTCTGCCCTGGTAAATTACCACTTAATGAATTTACCAGGGAAATCTCCTGATGTGAAATTTATGAAAGCCATTTCAACAACCTACATACCCAATTACCCAGACTGGAATATGCCCACAGTGTTCATCTACTGGGGGAGTGACATCAAGGCTCAGTTCATTGGGACTCTGATATTCGGCGGCGAGTTGGAGCAGAAACTGGCTGAGTCTGGGGCCATCAGACAGACCTGGAAGAGAAGCAGACCTGCAGGAAGCCGATGGAAGATCTGTCGCTGTCCTCGGTGTGGTGCACTGTCCCCACGAAGAGGAACAGCAATTCTGAGGGTGACTGAGACCACAGACATTATTTGTCACTCATATCCCTGACTCCCCTTTTTTCTTCCCTGTAGTCCAACCTCTTCCCAGCAGCCAGTATAGATTAAATGTGCCAAATGCAAACTGAATCATGCCACTCCCTTCCACAACAGCTTCCCTATCCCTACAGGATCAGGGTCAAAGTCTGTCCTGATGGCCTGGAAGATCCTACCATCATCCCACTTCTGTTTGTCCCCCTCCAGCCTTAGTATTTGCTCAGAGCAACGCTTCTGTTTTCTTGAACGGAGTATGCTATTTTCCTCCTCCTTACCCCTGCTAACTGGCTCATTCACACATCTCCTGGGGCCCCACCTGGCCCCTTCCCCAATCCCCTCTGGGTTAGGCACCCTCACCACCCCATTCCACAGTCTTGTACACATCACACTGCATGCTCAATTATAGGTAGAGACCCCAGACCTCCCGGAAAACAGGGACCGCTGGTTCTCCGCTGAGCCTCCAGCACAGAAGACAGGGCCCTGCATGAAGGCCTACCCTGGTCAGTGACCCGAGAGCCGACAGGCTGCAGGAGGGGAGTGTGCCCAGGGGCCCGCCAGATCGCGGGACGATTCAAGCGCCCGCGCCATTGGGCGGAGAAGCCGGACCCCGCCCCGGCCTCGCTCAGCTCCCGGAGTCCCAGTGGCGGCGCCGCGCCCTCTTCCTACCGGACCGAGCCGGAAGTGGAGTCGACAACTTCCCATGAGGCTCCGCGGAGCACTCAGTCTAACGCCCCGTGCCGAGGAGCTGGCGATGGCGGCCCCGCAGGCGGAAGTCCTGTCGCCGGCAGGAGTCCCGGGTAAGGAAGGCATGGGGTACTGGGCTTGGGGATCCTCGGGGGCCCGTTTCTTGCCTTCCCCGGGCACCTCTTGTCTTTGAGCCTCTGATCCGTTCTCCGATTCCCCACATCCCCCAGGGTCCCACCCTGCCCTGGCTCGAGTAGGTTCGTCCTCCTTTAGGGGAGATGATTATACCTTGCGCTTATTTCTCCGGCCGGGGAGCCCGCCCCCAGTCACCCCGGTGTCCCGCCCCTGGGGTCCCGCACGACAGCCCAGGGCTCGGGAATCTCCCCGGCGAGTTCCCGGGGTGAGGGCGGGCATCTGCAGGGTGTCGGGTTTTAGCATCTCGTCTGTGATCTCTGCACCCGCCAGATCTGGAGTGGTATGAGAAGCCGGAGGAAGCCCGCGGCCCTCAGCTCCAGCTGCCGGAGGCCACCGCCAACCCCACGGAGCACTCGTGCCCGAGGGACTGCTTGGTGCCCGTGGTGTTCCCGGGGCCGGTGAGCCAGGAGGACTGCTGTCGCTTCACCTGCGAGCTCCTCAAGCATATCATGTACCAGCGCCAGCAGCTGCCGCTGCCCTACGAGGAGCTTAAGCATTTCTACCGAAAGTCTCCTTCCCAGGTAGGTGTGGGCTCTGGGAGGAAAGGTGTGGCTCGTTAGTTGTGGCAGGTGGGAAACTGATCCCTTCTCAGGGTGGGTCAACCCTCCGAGCTTCCGTCGCCTTCTCCCCCTGTGTCACTGGCTCTCCGTTGGCTGTCTCACCCTCTCTGCTTTCTTTCCCGTCTTTTCTTTTTCTTTCTTTTTTTGTTTTTTGACCTCTCTCTTGTTAACTCTCCCTGAAACTCCTATTACGTGTTGCCTTTGGGCCTCATGACTTGGCTCTTTAAATTTTTATTTCATTAGATTGTCATCCCTTTGTTGTTTGTTTTGTTTTTTGATATCTGACTTCATTGGCTTCATAGCCTAACATGAACATGATATAATGTACTTTTTTTGGCAGAGATTTTTGTTAAGTTCTTAACTTTTGCATTGCCCAAAATGAGCTTAATGAGTTTATTTTTCTTTTTCTTGCCTTCTTTCCTCTTCCACCAGTTTTTTAAAGATTGATTTATTTTTTATTGTAAAGGCAGATATAGAGAGGAGGAGAGACAGAGAGGAAGGTCCTCCGTCCAATGGTTCACTCCCCAGGCAGCTGCAACGGCTGGAGCTGAGCTAATCTGAAGCCAGGAGCCAGGAGCTCCTTTGGGGCTCCCATGTGGGTGCAGGGTCCCAAGGCTTTGGGCCGTCCTCGACTGCTTTCCCAGGCCACAAGCAGGGAGCTGGATGGGAAGTGAGGCTGCCAGGATTAGAGCCAGTGCCCATATGGGATCCTGGCATGTGCAAGGCGAAGACTTTAACCACTATGCTATCGCGCTGGCCCCTTTTTTTAAAAAAAGATTTATCCACCTTTTTTTTTTTTTTTTTAAGATTTATTTATTTGTTTTAAAATAGACCAGGGCTTATCCAGGCTGAATCCAGGAACCAGGAGCCTCATCCTGGTTTGGTCTCCCATATGGGTGGCAAGGGCCCGAGTACTCTGATCCTCAGGAGCTGCCTTGCTAGGAAGGAGTTTGGAAGCAGAGCAGCTGGGACTGAACTAGCATGCAGAAGCCAGCATTGCAAGTGAAGGCTTAATGTACCAAGCCACAGCACCAGCCCGAAGACCTGTCCTTGTGTTAGCAGCATCCTGTTTTTATGTCTGTACATTTTTTCTTACATGAGAATATTTCTTGTAGTCTTGAAGAACTTTCTCTCCGTTTCTTTGTATCTATTTCTATAAAACTCCATTTTCCATGTGTTTTTTGGCTCTGATTTTCACATTTGGAGGCTTTTGTTCTGTCTTTGGTGAGTATTGCAGAGTAAATAATTGCAAGTTCCCTGTGCATGGCTGATGAGCTGATAGACTGCAGCATGAGGGGATTGGGTGGGAACCTGGTGGTCTCTGGTGTCTTTGAGGGTGCTGGGAAGTCTTCCCTCAGGATGGGGGAGGAAGCAAGCAGTGGTCTAAGTCTTCTCACACAGGCTCTTGGTCCCCCTGTTTCTACTCGTACATGTGGAGCCCATCTCAGCAATTCCCGAATCTCTCGGGTTCTGCGGGGTGAAACACTTGTATGTCCTTCCTCTCCATCAACATTCAGTGTTCAGCTTTTGTAAACTCCTGAATTTTCCATCTCTGTTAGTTTCCCCTTCCCTTCTCTCCCCTCCACTACCGAAAGGGAAAGGCAGACTTCCAGGTCTCTCCCATGTGGTTGCAGGGTCCAAAGGTCCTGGGCCATCCTCTGCTGCTCTCCCAGGCCATTAGCAGGGAGCTGGATGGGAAGAGGACCGGATGGGACTGGAACCAGCACCTATATAGGATGCTGACACTAGAGGTGGAATCCTAAACTGCCATGCCAAGCACCTGCCCCCACTTCCTTCATTTTCTTTTTCAGTATGTAACATGCAAGCACAAGTAATTTTTTTCCTTAAGATTTATCTTATTTTTTATTGCAAAGTCATATATACAGAGAAGAGGAGAGACAGAGAGGAAGATATTTCACTCACTGATTAACTCCCCAAGTAGCCGCAATGGCCAGAACTGAGCTGATCTAAAGGCAGAAGCCAGGAGATTCTTCCAGGTCTCCCACGTGGGTGCAGAGTCCCAAGGCTTTGGGCTGTCCTCATCTGCTTCCCAGGCCACAAGCAGGGAACTGGATGGGAAGTGGGGCCACTAGGTTTAGAACTAGTGACCATGTGGGATCCTGGCGTGTGTAAGGCGAGGACTTCAGCCACTAGGTTATTGTGCCGGGCCCGCACAAATAATCTTGAAAGACCAATTATAGCGTCATCATTGCTAAGCAGTCCTCATTCCCACTATTATACACTATCTAGCCACAATTTGCTGCTTTGTCATGCCACCAAATTTCCTTGACTATTTTAGCTTCTTGTATCAGGATGCCCTTCAACTTCAGGATACTGTTTTGTCTGTGTATATAAAGAATATATTTTGCTTTTTGAGGTCATGCCCTCTGACGAAACCTGGTGTGTTGACGGTGGTGGTTCATTGAGCTAGAAATTCAGTGTGGGGTCTGTGTACCTCAGCAGGATTCTTTAAAGGGCGTTTGCCTTATCCTCCCATCCTCCTGTGCTTTGTCATCCCAGGCAGAAGACGCAGTGAGGAAGAAACCTCAGAGCACCAGCGAGGCGAGCAGCAGGAAGTGCCAACAAACCCTAGCAGAGCTGGAGAGCGTGCTGAGTCACCTCCAGGACCTCTTTGCCCGAACTCTGGTGCCACGAGTGCTCATCCTGCTCGGCGGCAATGCCCTGAGCCCCAAGGAGTTCTACGAACTTGACCTGTCCCGCCTGGTGCCCTACAGTGTGGAGCAGAGCCTCAACACCGCTGCGTGCCTGCGCCGCCTCTTTCGGGCCATCTTCCTGGCCGATGCCTTCAGCGAGCTCCAAGCTCCCCCACTCATGGGCACCATCGTCATGGCCCAGGGCCACCGGGACTGTGGAGAAGAGTGGTTTCGACCCAAGCTCAATTACCGAGTGCCCACCCGAGGCCACAAACTGACCGTGAGCCTGTCCTGTGGCCGACCTTCCGTCCCGGCCATGATGTCAGAGGATTACATCTGGTTTCAGGCACCTGTGACGCTAAAAGGCTTTCACGAGTGATGGCGAGTAGAACGCTTCCGAATCGTGGCCAAGTGCGGCTGAGCGGCCTTCCTCCCCCTGACTTCCTGGTTGGAGAGGAAGGCTCTGCCCTTCTGGCTGCCTACCTCCCCGCCACACACACTGCCTGGTGGGCTGCTGGTAGGTGACTGTCACAGTCCTCACGGAGCAGTGTCTCTCCTGAATCAGAGCTTGATTTCCCCAGAGGGTGCTGCTGGGTCAGGTGTTTGAGATTACAAAGCAGAAGATGAGGTCCTCAGAGGCATACTCCTATGGAGGAGGGCACCCCTTTTTCTGCCTTTTTTGCTGTGTCCTTTCAGAATATTTTCTGGGTATGTACATGTGGATGTGATTCATGAACTTAAATATAAAACAGATGAATTCATAGCACATTGTCCTGCAGCACTGCAGGCCGGGGCTTGGAGGCTTTGGCCTTCTCCCCAGCCTCTTCCACTTCAAGGTCTCCAGGTGGGGTGCCTCTTATCCCAAGTGCCTGAAGCCGGAGGGGTTTCACATTTGAGGTTGTTAGTGTGTACCTGTACTGAGTTATCCTGGGGATAAGATCCATGTCTAAAAATGAAATTCATTTACATTTTATGTCCTTTTGTATGCCCAGACCAAATGTAATTTTATATGATATTTTTAATAACTTTGTGCATGAAATGAGAGTTTTGCGGTGTGGAGTTTTCTATTTGAGGTATTGTGTCAGCATTTAAAAACATCTCAGATTTGGGAATTAGGACTGCTTGGCATATAATAGTGTCATCCAGCTCAACAGGTCCATGCCAGTTTGGAAGGTGAAGCCAGCGTGGCCTCAGTTCTGTGAGCAACAGGACAGCACAGGTGGGACTACAGTCCACTGACTCCAAGCCCAGTGCCCCTTCCTTGCCACTTGCTGATTTTGGTGACCCCTGTGTTCTGTATGTCCAAAGCAAAAGTGACCTTCGGTGTGGGGAAGGACTGGGCTTGGCAGGTCGACCAGTGAGAGCCCAGTTACTTGGGGGAAGGGTCTGGTGCTGGGCGTGGGCTGCAGGCAACTCTTAATTGGGCAGGGGGTGTGGGACTCCTCTCCAAACCTACTCTCTTTCGAGGGCAGGCGCTCTGGCCCTGTCCCCTGGGGCGTGGAGGACAGGTGCCATGGGTGGTTCCTCATGCGGGCCAGCCGTGAGACAGCAGCAACTTTTTGTTTTGTTTTGTTTTGTTTGTGGACTGCTTCACGACTTTGTATGTCCTCCTTGCGCAAGTGCCATGCTAACATTCTCTGTATTATTCCAGTTTTAGAATAAGTACTGCCAAGGTGAGCACAGTATTCATTTTGCATGGAGGCGGTTGTTACACACAGCAGGTACCATGCTGGGGGAGCTGAGCTGTTCTGGGGTGTCATGATCCTCGTCAGCCTGACTGCCCTTCAGAGGGGAAAAGCAGATGTCTGGAGGAAAGTGGCTGAGACAGGGAAGCAGCTTGATTTAACTCTCGTGGGCAGAGGCCCCCAACACAGTGCTGACATCCTGTGGGATTTACTCCCCGGGGCCAGCTTTGCCTTCTGGATCCTGCTCCCCAGCCTGTCTGCTCTGTCGCTGGAGGTTGGCTGCGACAGTCCCTGTGTGGGCAGTGCTGTCCTTGGGCCACACTGCGGCTTCCTGTCTGTGTGCTTCTTCCTCAGCCGTGCTGGAGGTGGCTGTCCTGTCCCTCGGCGTTACCCTCTCTGGCCCCACACTGTGCTCATCACCAAGCATTGTCACCTTTTGTCCCTGGGGAAGAACACCTGCTCATTCCATGGAAGAAAGTGGAAGGCAGAAGGGGCTGGCACGAAATCTCAACTAGCCAATCCTCCATCTGTATATCATGAGTGCTGTTCCTGTCCTGGCTGCTCCCCTCCCTGCTTGTGGCCTGGGAAAACAGTAGAGTACGGTCCAAAGCGTTGGGACCTGCACCCATGTGGGAGACCAGAAGAAGCTCCTGGATTCAGATTGGTTCATCTCTGGCCATTGTGGCCATCTGGGGAGTGAACAAGTGGATGGAATATCTGCCTCTGTAAAATCTGGCTTTCCAATAAAATAAATAAACCTAAAAAAAAAGCAACAACAACAAAAGGCAGAATCCCACCCTTGCTGCTGTTGGAGAGAGGTGTGTCCATATCTACAGATGGGGGGCAATGATACATAACTGCAGGATTTTTTGATGAGGTAACAGGGAAAGTGCTGGAAACTGTCAGTTTTTGGTTTATTATGTAACACACCAAAGCACTTCAGAAAGTGTATGGAAAAAATCTCATGACCCTTCCATTGAACTTTTCCATGAGTGTTTTTTTTTTTTTTTTTAATTTTTATTGCAAAGTCAGATATACAGAGAGGAAGAGACAGAGAGGAAGATCTTCCATCTGAAGATTCACTCCCCAAATGACCATAATGGCTGGTGCTGCACCAATCTGAAGTCAGGATCCAGGAACTTCCTCCAGGTCTCACACACGGACACAGAATCCCAAGGGTTTGGGCCGTCTTCGACTGCTTTCCCAGGCCACAGGCAGGGAGCTGGATGGGAAGTGGGACTAGCCAGGATTAGAACTGGTGCTCATATGGGATCCCTGCGCATTCAAGATGAGGACTTTAGCAACTAGGCCACGCCGTCGGGCCCTTAATGAGTTTGTTGAAGCACTTACATATAGATCTAGACCTATCCATGTTACAATGTATGGAGTACTGCCCTCCCCCCCTTTTTTTCATAAGATTTATTTTTATTGGAAGGGCAGATTAACACAGAGGAGAGACAGATCTTCCATCTGCTGATTCACTCCCCAAGTAGCCACGATGGCTGAAACAGAACTGATCCAAATCCAGCAGCTAGGAGCTTCTGGGTCTCCCATGCAGGTGCAGGGACCCAAGGCTTTGGACCATACTCTGCTGCTCTTCCAGGCCACAAGCAGGAAGCTGGAAGTGCAGTGGAGCGGCCGGGACACAAACCAGCACCCATTTGGGATGCTGGTGTTGTAAGATGGAGGATTAGCCAGTTGAGCTATTGCGATGGCCCCAGTCCCCATTTTCTAGATGAGGCTAGGGAGATTGGGTCACTTAAGCTTCAGAGGTGAGTGTGGGTTTGAATCCAGTCTCCCCGGCTCCGAGCTCCCAGGCTGAGTGCTTCCCACAGTGCCCTCATCCTCTGTGATTTTCCTCTGAGATCCTGAGTCAGGATCTGTTCTGCCGAAGGTGTTGGCCTTGGGAAGCAGTAGACTTGCTGCTGTGGCTTCAGACTTGGGTTCCTGACGGTGAGCCTGCCATTAGCCGGTGCTGAGTAAATACAAAATTAGTGGAGCTCTGATGTGTGGTATGATCCAGAGATTGGTCTGTTCCTTAGATGCAGCGACCTTAGAGCACGTGTCCCACTTAGGGAAGGGAAAGGCCAAAGGGTCTGATGACAGGGTGGCAAGGAGGAGTTGTGGACGAAAGGGGAGAAGGTTGAGTATTGTTTTGAGATGGAAGACCATGAAGCCTCTCAGGTCCTTCAGATGCTAATTTGAAAAGCCTTCCTAAACAATGCCAGGATCGTCAAAACAAAGCAATTATCCAGGGAGTTTAGACACTTCTCTGACATGGGGCACGTGGCATTCTGATTTCATGAATCCCATGCAAAGGAATCCAGAGTAATTAAGTAGCAACCACTCGGTCTCTGCTGGCTGCAAGCTCACTCAGGAACTTGTTTATGTTCAGCTTTGGCTGGAGACGCCAGAGGCCAGAGGCACATGGGAAAGAGTCTAGCCAGGAGGCCCAGCTGTGGTGGGGCTCTGGCCTTTCACCTGCTGCCACGTCTGGGTCTAAAAGCAAGAGCCTGGGGCCCAGGTTGGTCAAGACAGACGATAGCTAGTCTTCATATGCCACCATAGGTAGAGCAGTGTTCCAGGGAGGGGGCAGGTAAAGAGACATCTGGGAAGATGGAGCATCAAACTCAAGAACTCGAGGATCTGGCTGGGGCAGGAGTTGGGGGTGGGTGGGAATTGACGGAATCTTAGGATTTTAGTTTTTGAGGGATTTTTTAAAGATTATTTTATTGATTTGAAAGGCAGGATTATGCAAGGGGACATGTCCCCAAATGACTGCAACCATGGAGCCTGGAGCTGCTTCTGGGTCTCCATGTAGGTGAAGGGGTTCAAGCATGTGGGTCATTTTCTGTTGCTTTCCAGGCACTTTAGCAGGGGGAGCTGGATGGGAGGTGGAACAGCCCAAACTCAAGCTGGCATCCATGAGGAATACTGGTGTCACAGATGAAGGTTTAGGCTGCTTTGCCAGAATTCTGGACCCAAATAGTCTGTGCTTCTTAACAGATAATCCCACACTCTAGAAGGGGCATATTGGGCCTGACGCACGCAGTAGCCTAGTATCTAAAATCCTTGCCTTGCACACACTGGGATACCATGTGGGTGTAGGTTCTAATCCCGGTGGCCCCACTTCTTTCCAGCTCTTTGCTTGTATCCTGGGAAAGCAGTTTAGGATGGCCCAAAGCCTTGGGACCCTGCACCCACATGGGAGACGTGGAAGAGGCTCTGGGCTCCTGGCTTCTGGCTTCAGATCAGCACAGCACCAGCGATTGTGGTCATTTGGAGAGTGAATCAGCTGATGGAAGATATTCCCTTCTGTCTTTCCTCCTCTCTGGCTTTCCAATAAAAAAAATAAATACAAAAGAAAAAAATGGCATATTACTGGGCCAGTGTTGTGGTGCTGTGAGTTAAATTGTTGCCTACATTGCCAGTGTCTAGTATGAGCCCCAACTGCAATAGTCATTCATCTGGGAAAGCAGTGGAAGATGGCCAAGTGCTTGGAGTCTCTGCACCCACATGGGAGACTCGAATGGAGTTCCAGGTTCCTGACTTTGACCTTGTTGGGTCCTGGACCTTGTGGTCAATCTGAGGATGGGATCTTCTGATTTCTGCCTTTCTTTTTTTTTTTTTTTAAGATTTATTTTTATTATTTTTTTATTGGAAAGGCGGATATACAGAGAGAAGAGACACAGAGGAAGATCTTCCATCCGATGATTCACTCCCCAAGTGAGCCCAACGGGCCAATACTATGCCGATCCGAAGCCAGGAGCCTCTTCCGTGTCTCCCTCGCGGGTGCAGGTTCCCAAAGCTTTGGACCGTCCTCGACTGCTTTCCCAGGCCACAGGCAGGGAGCTGGAAAGGAAGCGGGGCTGCTGGGATTAGAACCGGCGCCCATATCGGATCCCGGGCCCGATTTCTGCCTTTCAAAGAAATCCTGGGAGCAAAAACGAAGTGACATTGCTGGAGTGGAATAATATAGCTAGTATCTATGTTGGGGCTATGTGTTGGTTTTTCAAGCCCCCATTATATATACAGTGAGAACTCAGTAAACGCCGGCTACACAAAAAGGCTCAGGGAGGATGGAAATATCCACGCAACTGGATCAGGCTGGCCCCTCTTCAACGCCATATAGCTTACTCATAGCAGGGGAAGCCACGCTCCAAGGTCTGGTGTGGGTGCCTGGGTTCTGCACGGAGAGGGGCGGGTGCTCCCCTGCTCGCCTCGGGGTGGGAGGGCGGAGCTTCGGGTCGCCACGGAGACGGCGTCCCGCGACCGGTGGGGCGTTGAGCCGAGCCGCAGGCCCCATGGACGCCGAGAGCCTCCTGCTGTCTTTGGAGCTAGCATCGGGCAGCGGGCAGGGCCTGAGCCCGGACCGTCGGGCCTCCCTGCTCACTTCCCTGACCCTGGTGAAGCGCGACTACCGCTACAGCCGAGTGCTCTTCTGGGGCAGAATCCTCGGCGTCGTCGCCGATTACTATATCGCGCAGGGCCTGAGTGAGAACCAGCTCGCACCGCGCAAAACACTGTACAGGTGGAGGGGACTCCCTGGGCAGGGCGATGCCGAGAGGGCACCGCTGGGGGAGGCAGAGACCCTGGGGGATCGGAGGGCCAGGATCGGGGCTGATGGCTGGAGGGGTGAGGCGAGGGTCCAGAAGGGTCCAGAAGGAGAGGGGGCGGGAACTGCGCGGCATCCAGGAGCCTGATGGGGCGGGGCCCTGGTGAAAAGGCAGCAGGTGGATAGACATGCCCACGGCCACCTAGGGACTTAAGGAGAGGTGAAGCAACTTGAGCTGTGTCCACAGCTCTCTCACTGGAGGAGCTGTTGAAGAACTCTAAGCCAGAAAAGCCTGCTTAGATCTGGATGAGCCCAACGGATCTGGAATCTGGCTGAGCCCTTCCCAGGCAGACGGAACAGTTAGGAACCCTTGGCAGTGTGGGGCTTGAGGGGGGTCTGGTCTGGAAGGAAGAAATAACTGAGGGATTGGGGAGCAGGGATGAACTGGGAATGGACCTGTGACTTGATTGAGGTGTGTGTGTGTGTGTGAGAGAGAGAGAGATAAAGAAATCACAAGGACTTTTCTTCCAGCTTGGGTAGCTGATGAAGTGCTGGTGCCACTCGCTAGGAGATTAAAAAGAGTGGGACTGGGCAGATGGGGGAAGGGGCAGTGTCAGGAAGGCCAGAAGAGCAGTTTGAACTGAAGCCCAGAGACACAGGGATCCTTTCACTTTATTCTCCAACTATTGTTGAGCACCTGCTATATCTTAGGCGTTGGTGTAGGTGGCAAGTGAGAAGGTCCTTGTCTCCCGGCACTTCTTTTGCAGGGTGGGTTTGGAGGTAGGGGAGGGGCAGTTGCTGAGTAAGCAGACATGCAAATGACACTGCTGTGATGGCATGATGGTGAGTGCAAGAATACAGGGTGCAGGAGGGTCTTCAACACAGAGAGGTAGCATTTGAGAGGAGACCTGATGAGACTGAGGGATAAGCCATGTTGATACCTTTAAAAAAAATAAAGGTTTTTTTTTAAAAGATTTAATAATTTGCCGGAGTCCAGCTCCAGCTGTGTTCGGAACTTGCGAAGGGTGCGTGGATGAGGCGCAAAGAGAGACGGACCACTAGGAACTCTTCATCATAATGGACGATGCACAAAAGCTGTCCGCTTTATTTATACAAAATCAGTCAAACTCTGGCTCAGACTTTTTACGACATGGTCAAGTGGGTGTTTCTAAAGATAACTCTGCCATTTGTTTCACCTAAGGCTAGGATATTAACCACCTGGTGCCTGGCACCTGGTGCCTGGCTAGGAAAAAGTTCAATAGATGGTGCATATCAATCAGTAACACATTCCTACCACAATTACTCTACAGCTTGGTCTTGAGACAGTCAAGGAAGGAAGGGCTTCACAGGAGGGACCTAAAAGATCAAAGAAAGAGGGAAAAAATAGATTCCACTACACCTGAAGACAAAACACCCTTGATTAGCATAGGATCAAAAGGGGAGTTAGCACCTTTGATTAGCATATTGCCACAGGATGTAGCTGTAACAGCAATAACAGCTTTTTGGCTAAAAAAAATGGTAACAGCAACATCAGCTTCTAAGCTCCTATTGATATTAAACATTAACTCCGCAGAGGCAGACAATGCCTAAATAGATTACAGAAATCTCAATGGGGTTGTCTGGTGTCCATGCAAAGTGAGGCAGAGCTGCATTCAGGTGTTGTAGAGACATCCCCCGGGCCTTGCCGCACAGCGGGAAGTTCCTTGCGACCTTGACGATACTCTTCACACCTTCCTGTCTTCCACATCCATCACGCGGACCCCAGCATTAATTTTTTTGGAAAGACATATTTACAGAGAAGGAGAGACAGAAAGAAGGATCTTTCATCCACTTGTTTATTCTCCAAATGGCCACAATGGCCAAAGCTGAACTGAGCTGAGCTGAATTCAGGAAACAGGAGCTTCTTCTCTTCTGGATCTCCTGAGTTGGTGCAGGGTCCCAAGGCTTTGGACTGTCCTCTGCTGCTTTCCTAAGTCACAAGCAGGGAGCTGGATGGGAAGTGGAGCAGCCGAGACTCGAATCAGTTCACATATAGGATACTAGCATTTGCAAGGGGAGAATTAGCCAATTGAGCCATTGTGCTAGGCCCTTGAAGAGAAATTCTTATTTATTCATTCGCTTAAAAGAATTACAGAGAGGTAGAGACACAAAATCAGAGAGAGAGAGAGATTTTCCATTCCATTCCCCAGATGTCTCCAAGAGCCAGGGCTGGGCCAGGTTGAAGCCAGGAGCCAGGAGCTTCGTTCAGATCTCCCATGTGAGTGCAGGTGCTCATACACTGGAGCCAGCCTGTGCTGCTTTCCCAGGCACATTCGAAGTAGAGTAGCCAGGACTGGAACCGGCACCCACCTGGCCCCAGGAGAAGCGTTTTTAAAGGGGAAATGTCAATTGAAGGCTGCTGTGGTTTTATATGGCTGAGCAGTGTTTGTGTTCAGAGGAAAGCAGAGGAGAGTGAAGGCCAGGAGGGTGAACCTGGAGCAGGCTGGGGGCCTAGACTCTGAATGGATTAGAGAAAGGTGGGGTGCAGAGGGGACATCCTTCCTTGAGCAGGGCGTGAGGAAGAGGGGAATGGGGAGCAAGAAGGGCTGGGGAGGGGGTGCTGGGGAGTGTTGTTGAACACTAGGAGGAGGAGCAATCATGCAGGCCCAGGCTGGGCTTGTCTGTGGAAGCAGAAGAGAGGCAGCCCCTGGCCCACAGGGAAGGCAGCATGCAGTAGCAGGTTGCTATGCATTCAGTGCCTCACCCACCTGCCATGGGTTTGGCAGGAGGCAGAACTATGAGTCCAGGGAACTGGTGGACAGGAAGCTTTTGTGACCTTCAGCAAAGTTAACATTGAATTTGCATTGCATGTGGGCCCTTCGAGGCTGCCTGGGTGCCAGCAGCTAAGGGAGGTGGGGGATGGGGAAGTTGGAGAGCAGAGCAGGAGTGGGAGCCTGGGGGTGGGCGGTGTGTATTGTCGGCAGCCTAAACTGCATCGAGTGGAGCCTCCTGCCCCCTGCCACGGAGGAGATGGCGGCGCAGACGGCCATGGTGAAGGGCCGCTTCATGGGCGACCCCTCCCATGAGTACGAGCACACGGAACTGCAGAAGACGAACGATGGCGACAAGGCCTTTGAGGAAGAAGTGGTGGTGAGTGAAGGGCAGGGGGGAGGAAGGAGGAGCCTGAGCAGAGAGGGCCCCCGTCCACCCCGAACCCAGCGTGGTAGAAAGGAGAGCCACCACCGCTGTCATTGTCACTGCCATCTATGGGCCTGCCATATCGGGTGTTGTGTCCTGGAGTGTGCCACCACGTACCCCGTTGTTGTCGTCTTCTCCTCCTTCTTCAAGAAGGGGAAGGGGAAAGTCCAGCTCCTGTGCAACTTTATCATAAAATAATCAAATGAATTAATTAAAAAAAAAGATTTATTTATTTTTTTATTGAAAAGGCAGGTTTACAATGACGAGAGACAGGAAGATCCTCCAGCAGCCAGAGCTGAGCCGATTTAAGCCAGGAACCAGGAGGAACCCATATGAGCGCAGGGACTGCAGGCTTTGGGTCATCCTCTACTGCTTTTCCAGGCTGCAAGTGGGGAGCTGGATGGGAAGCGGTGCAGCTAGGACATGAACTGGCACCCATATCAGATCCTGGTGTGTGCAAGGCAAGGACTTCAGCCATTAGGCTACTGTGCCAGGCCCCAGAGAGAAAGATTTTGCATCTGCTGGTTCACTCCCCAAGCAGCTGCAACGGCTGGAGCTGAGCCAATCCGAAGCCAGCAACTAGGAGCTTCTTCTAAGTCTCCCATGCAGGTGCAGGGTCCCAAGGCTTTCGGCCATCCTTGACTGATTTCCCAGGCCACAAGCAAGGACTTAGATGGGAAGTAAGAGCAGCTGGAACACAAACCAGTGCCCATATGGGATCCTGGTATTGCAGGGGGATTAGCTAATTGAGCCATTGCATTGGGCTCATCCCAGTCTTTTCTAATTTTTAACAGCTCTGTTGTGGGCCCCTTACCTACAGATGGGGGGGGGCATTCACATGTGCAGGGGTGAAGGGACTTGCCAGGGATTAACAGGGAAGGGACAGGTGCATGCAGGAATGGGTAGCTATATGGAAAGCCTGTTTCAAGTAGGGGAAGGGAAGAGAGGCTGGGAGCCGAGTACACTCTTACTAATGGTCAGGGGAGTTCCCGTCTTCTATGTTGGTATTGATGTCCACTCTTTGATAACAGCTACACGGTTCAAAATTCAGAGAGGTAGCCTGGCATGGTGGCCTAGTGGCTAAAGTCCTCACCTTGTAACTACCAGGGTCCCATGTAGGCACTGGTTCGAGTCCTGGTGGCCCCACTTCCCATCCAACTCTCTGCTTGTGCCCTAGGAAAGCAGTTGAGAACAGCTAAAAGCTTTGGGACCCTGCACCCGCATGGGAGACCTGGAAGAAGATCCTGACTCCTGGCTTCGGATCGGCTCAGCTCCTGCCATTGTGGCCACTTGGCGAGTGAATCAGCAGATGGAGGATCTTCTTCTCTGTCTCTCCTCCTGTCTGCATATCTGCCTTTCCAGTAAAAATAAATAAATCTTTAAAAAAAATTCAAAGGGGCAGCAGGAATATGGGTAAATTTCCTTCCACTTCTGTCCATCGTGGCACATACTTCTTTCAGGGATTTACAGATGATGATGATGATGGTGTGTGTGTGTCTGTGCATCCATCCTAAGCTTTCTACTACATCAGCAGTATCAACATATCTTAGCAGGTCCTGGATGCAGGATCTTGGGCCTTAGCAATAGTACCCACATTTAAGAAAAAAAGATTTAGGGGCCTGGCATGATGGCTTAGTGTATAAATCCTTTCCTTGAAAGTACCAGCATCCCATATGGGTACCGCTTCAGGTCCCAGCTGCTCCATTTCCCATCCAGCTCCCTGCTTGTGGCCTGGGAAAGCAGTCGAGGACAGTCCAGAGCCTTGAGACGCTGCACCCATGTGGGAGACCTGGAAGTGGCTCTGGGCTCCTGCTTTGGATCAGATCGTCTGAGCTGTGGTATTGCAGGCACTTTGGGAGTGAACCAGAGGATGGGAAACCTTTCTCCCTGTAAATCTGACTTTCCAATAAAAATAAATGAATCTTAAAAAAAAAAAAACCCTTATTTATTTATTGGAAAGGCTGAGCAACAGGGTGGTAGGGAGAGAAAAAGAGAGGTTATTTGCTAGTTTACCGCCCAAATGGCATGACAAACAAGTCTGGGCAAAACCAAAGGTAGGAATTTCACTCAGGTCTCCCACATGAGTGCAGGGGCCCAGGCACTGCTACTGTTTTCCCATGTGTGTTAACTGGGAGCTGGATGAGAAGTGGAGCAGCTGGGACGCCAATCAGCGCCCATGTGGGGCTGACTCTGAAGATGGAGGCTTAGCCTCCTATGCCACGGTGCAGCCTTCACCGCATTCTTTTGGCCACTATGAAAATGTTTCACAGCTGAAACTCAATGTCTTATTCACGGCGATGTGGGTTTCTAAGTTTAGCTCTGACGAACAGGGTCATCACCGCTGACACCATGTTACTGTCATTTCCATCGTGTGCACTTTCTCTGAAGAAATCCTTTTCTGGAAATGGAATTGCTGGGTTCATTTCATGGTTTCAAAAGGATTTGGTTCCCACACTGCTATAGGGCTTTACATCTCCAAGTTAATGCTATTAAGAGAGCAAACTCTTAATCCAATTGTGCTGTGGAGGAGGTGGGCCCAGTGGGCGGGCCTTAGGTCATGGGGGTGTGCCCTTAGAAGGTAGTTCCTGGGAGCAGCTTATTGCAAAAACCTGCACTGGGCTGAAGCTTCCTCGCTCACCACGTGATCTTTCCTCCACGTGCATTCTGCTCTTGCCAACAGAGCTGCCTGAACTTGAACTTCCCAAAGGTGAGCCAGGGGCCAGCATTGTAGCTCAAAAGCCTAACCCTTCTGCCCACAGTGCAGGAACCCCATATGTATGTGGTTCATGTCTCAGCCACTCCACTTCCCATCCAGCCCCCTGCTTACAGCTTGGGAAAGCAGCAGACAATGGCTCAAGTCCTTGGGACCCTGCACCCAACTTCTTCCTGATCTCCCACATGATCAGGAAGAAGTTCCTGGCTCCTGGCTTCAGATTGGCTCAGCTCTGGCCATTTGCGGCCAGCTGGGGAGTGAACCAGTGGACGGAAGATATTTCTCTCTGCTTCTCCTTATCTCTCTGTAACATAAATTCAAATTAATAAATACATTTAAAAAACAATATAAACATTAAAACACACAAACACAAAACGCAAGCCTAAAGTAAACCCTTTCCTTTGTACAAAGGTAGGCTGCCTCGTGCATTTCATTACGGCGAGGAGAAGCTGATTATAACAGAGACGGGAAGTTGGGCACTCATATTTTGGGAGGAATCCAGCCCAGAAGTGAGAGCCCTCATGCTCAGGTCTGGGAGTTTGCCTGTGAAGCCTCCCCAGCCGCCTCTCATACACTGCACCTCCCAAGCCTCAGTCTGACTTTCTGTCGAGCGGAGGTTAATCCAGTATGCTTCTCTACTTCGTGAAGATTGGATGAATTGATCTCTGAAGCCCCCAGCCTGGTCATCGATTAGTCAGTTCCCATCCCTGCTCTGTAAGCCTGTGCCTGAATTGACGGCTGGAGGAGCACGCGGGCGCCCTCTGCTGTCCCTGTCAGGTGCTGCTCCCCCGCGCCCCTGTCGTCTCCTTTGCTTCAGCGTGCACACTGAACGTTTGTGGTAACTGAACTTGACGTCTGCAGAACAGGATATACCACGGGTAGATGCCTGGGAAATAATGTGAAGTTGACAAGTAGGATATGAAATTACCTAGCTTGTGACTCCGTCTTTCCGCATCTCTTCTCCAATAAAGCATACCCGTGTGCCATCAATGCTGATCCTGAGAGGGTCGAGATTGTGAGTGGTTTTAATTTTCTCAGGTGTGTTATCCAGTTTTCTGCCATGAGCATATATATCAGAGAGAGAGAGAATGAATTTCCACCTGCTGACTCACTCTCCAGATGGTCACAATGGCCAGTTCTTGGCCTGCGTCTAGAGCCAGGAGTTAAGCCATCCAGGTTCCCCATGAGGGGGACAGGAACCCTGTGACTTGAGCCATCACTACAGCAGCAAGGAACTGGAGGCAGGGGTGAGAAACTCAAGAGTTTCAATGGGAAATGCTTTTTTTTTTTAAAGATTTATTTATTTTTATTGCAAAGTCAGATGTACATAGAGGAGGGGAGACAGAGAGAAAGATCTTCTGTCCGATGATTCACTCCCTAAGTGGCCGCAATGGCTGGAGTTGATCCGATCCAAAGTCAGGAGCCCACAGCCTCTTCTGAGTCTCCCACGCGGGTGCAGGGTCCCAAAGCTTTGGGCCATCCTCGACTGCTTTCCCAGGCCACAAGCAGGGAGCTGGAAGGGAAGTGGGGCTGCTGGGATAGAACTGGCGCCCATATGGGATCCCGGGCGTGCAAGGCGAGGACCTTAACCACTTGTGCCACCGCACCAGGCCCTCAATATCTTTTAAATAATAACATTATTTGTATATTTCATTTTTTGTATGAAAGTCACAGACACAAAAAGAGAGAAACAGGGAGACAGAAAGTAGATTCTTCCACCCACTGGTTCACTTCCCAGAGATCTGCAACAGCTAGGGCTGGGCTGGGCTGGGCTGAAGCCAGGAGCCTGGCAGTCAGCTGGGATCTCCACCGTGACAGCAGGACCCACATACATAAGCTGCCGCCGGCTGCCTCTTAGGGTGTGCATTAGCTGGGAACTGGATTGGACGTGGGGGAACCAGGACACGTACTGGGTGCTCTGATGTGGAACATGAGGATCCCAAGGAGGCAACTCAACCATTCTACCAAATGCTCCTCTGAAACATTAATTCATGTTATTTAAATGCTTTTTTAAAATTTTTTTGTCGTTTTAATTTTTTCTTTTTAATCTTAACATTGTTTTTTGAAGATTCATTTTATTGGGCCCAGTGCAGTAGCCTAGTGGCTCACCTTGCACGTGCTGGGATTCCATGTGGGTGTTGGTTTGTGTCCTGGCTGCTCCATTTCCCTTCCAACTTCCTGCTTGTGGCCTGGGAAAGCAGTCGAGGACTGCCCAAAGCCTTGAGACGCTGCACCCATGTGAGAGACTTGGAGAAGTTTCCTGGCTCCTGGCTTTGGATTGGCTCGGCTCCAGCTGTTGCCATCACTTGGGGAATGGGTCAGTGGACGGAAGATCTTCCTCTCAGTCTCTCCTCATTTCTGTATATCTGACTTTCCAATAAAAATAAAGATTCTTTAAAATAAAGAATCCAATAAAAATAAATAAAGAATTTTCCCATCCAGCAGGGAGCTGTTTGGGAAGCGGAGCAGGGGGAGGGGCAAACAGCGCCCATATGGGATCCCAGCACATGCAAGGCGAGGAGTTTAGCTGCTAGGCTATCGTGCTGGGCCCTACTTTTATATTTTAAAAGGTAAAATGAATAATATTCAGACATGGTGCTAGGCTAGTATGTCTCTGGAAGAATATATAAGGAAGTCTTCCTGGTGTTTGTCCCTGCTGTTGGGGCCTGCGCTGAGAGAAAGACTGAAGTGTATGTGTGTGGTTTTGAATGCTGTGTCACCTGCCAGAAAACTAAAAAGAAGGAAGGAAAGTAAGGGAGCCAGTGTCGCTGGGAGAGAAGCCAGGCCTAGCCCTCCTTCCTCAGGGCTGTGTCCCGGGCCCCGCGCAGATGCAGGGTCCTCCTTGAGTGGCTCCTTGTACCCTCAGGTCCAGATCAAGGAAGAGACACGCTTGGTGTCCATTATCGACCAGATCGACAAGGCAGTGGCCGTCATCCCTCGGGGTGCCCTCTTCAAAACCCCCTTTGGGCCTATTCATGTCAACCGGACCTTTGAGGGTGAGCTGGGCTGGGGCTGGGAGGCAGATGTTCCTGGCTCACATGGGTGTGTGTCTTCTGGGAAGGTGTGGCACTGGACTGGCAGGGGTGTCCCCGAGGACGCTGGGGCAGCAGGGGTGTCCCTGAGGACACTGGGGCGGCAGGGGTGTCCCCGAGGATGTTGGGGTGGCAGGGGTGGCCTGTGGGCTAGGTCTAGGCTTTAGCCACCTTGGATGCAGGGAACACTCATCGCTCCTCTCCACCCACCCCTGTGCTCTGTCACTGGGGACTGAGTGCTGGGTCAGCCCCTCCACGTGGTCCTCAAGCAGACATGGGGGTCGGGGCTGACCACCCTCTTGCCGCCTCCCACCTCTGCCAGGACTGCCCCTGTCTGAGGCCAAGAAGCTCAGCTCCTACTTCCACTTCCGGGAGCCTGTGCTGCTGAAGAACAAGAGCTTGCTGGAGAAGGCTAGCCTGGACCCCTCGCTGGACTTCATGGACTCCCTGGAGCATGACATCCCTAAAGGTACCCCAGGGGCATGACCTTGAACACGTGCAGTTGCCCCCAGGTGGCCGTGGTGGGCCCAGCCATCTGTCATTCCTTTCGGGGAAGGCAGCTGGGACCAGGTGGGCCCCAGAGCGTGGGCCTTTCCCTAGGGGCAAGCTTGGCATGAATACATGGGGCATTCCCTCACAGGGACATGTGTGTCCCCACCACGCCTCCCACAGACAGGAAGTATCTCCGGGTCTCTGCTTTTCATAAATAATTTTCTTTTTTTACTAAAAGTTTAAAATCTGTAGCTCTTGTCATTTGCCACACAAAAGTATATGCATTCACGTGTGTAACATGCTTTGAGGTATGCATATATGGTGGAATAATTAACACGACCTAATGAGCAAATGAGTTACTTTCCATAGTTGTCAAGTGTGCAGGGTGGGAAGACTTCATGATCTTCGCACTTTCCACAGAAACAATATGTTGCCATGGACCGAAGTCGCCCTGTTGTATGGAACGTACCTCTTTCCCTGACTCTAATTCTACATCCTCTGGCCAAAGCATCTCTCTGTGTCCCCTCACCGGGACCTCCCCAGCCCCTGCTATAACCGCCGTTCTTACCCTAAGAACCAGTTGCTCTGGAGGGCCGTATTGGTCTCTCTGCCTGTGCTTGTGTCACATCATGTCTGGTTCTGAGGGCCATCCCCATAGTTGCGAATGGTCTGATTCTGTCCTTTTCTGTGGCTGACCAGGATTCTGCCATGGTTGGGGCCCTCACTCTCCTTTCCTAGCATTGGTAGACACAGGCTGCATCTGTTTCCTCGGCTGTGAGAAGGATGCAGCCGTGCACACGGCAGCGCAGGGGTCTCTTGTGACCTGGCTGCATGTCTTTGTGCTGCAAGTGCAGAGGTGGGAGGCGCTGCTGGCTCCTTGGTGATCCTGATGGCAAGCAGCCATGCCTTCACCCCAACTGGCAGTCATGGACTGCCACGGGTGTGGAACGACTGGCAGGCCACCTGCTGAGTGTGGCTTCCATCTCTGGGCAGTGTCAGGGCCACCCTGGTACAGGCACAAGCCCCTCACGCTTCCCTTCTGTGTCACCAGTAGAGTGGGGGAGGCGAGCTCCAGGCCATCAGGGGCAAGGCCCGTGCTCAGCTCAGTGCCCTGCTTCTCCCCTCCCCATGGCTGATGGCTGTGAGATCTCATGGGGTCCGATGACACTGAAGGCAGAGTAAGTGACAAGGACGGCTCAAAAAGGCAGTGATGCTGCCTGTGGGCCGGGAATGGCGCTCGGCCCTCTCTACCTTGACCAGCCTGTGTCTGAGGTGGGCGTTATTGTCACCCTACCTCACTGGGCTCAGAAAGGTGAGCCCAACAGCATGGGAAGTGTCAAGAACTTTAGGACCCCAGGCTACTGCCCTTCTCTGTGGTGTCAAGCGCTGGGGTTTCCTGTTAAATGTCCGTGGGGATGACAGGCAGTGGTCCCTTAAGCCATGTTGAGTGGCACTTCTGAGGAGCTCCAAGGGGGGCAGGGTGACAAGGGCCCTGGCACCAGGCAGCCTGGGCTGGAGCCCAGTGTCAGCCCCTTACTGGCTGTGTGACTTCAGGCATGCCCCATGCTTCCATGTGTCTGTTTCTTCATTTTCCTGGAACTGGCAAGTTGAGCTGTTCTACTTACACTGGGTCAATTTTTAAGTGAGATGAGCTCAAGTATATACACAATGCTTAAAGCAGGGTTTAATGCATAGGAAGGCCTCAGGTGAAATGTAATTATTTTTAGTGGCCGAATGTCCTTAAGGATAAATTGGGACAGGCCTAAGAGGGTGCAGGAGCTAGAGCTGGGCTGGCTCATGAGCAGGTAGGTGGCAGGAAGATGGGAGAAAGGGGACAAGGCAGGCCCCAGGAATCAGGAGAGCTTGGGAACTGCCGAGGAGTGGCCATGCTGGCCTCTGCCACACGGGGGCGTCTGAGTCAGCATCCTAAACACAGGCAGTCCTGCGGGGATGGGAAGGGCGGGCTCGGACCAGTGTGGGGATGAGGAGGGTTCACAGGGTTTGGGGTGGGGGGCACTGTGTCAGACCCTGCTTATTATCTGCATCTCCACTCTCAGTCTTGCCAAGAACTGGAGGGGTGGGGGACGTGCTGGTGGGGTGTCCCAGTGCTGCAGGCTTGGGGGTGGCTAATGGAAGTCCAGATTGCCCAGTTTGAGGGCAGCACGCCTGGTGCTGCCTGGCTCAGGCTGTGTCCAGGAAGCCACGGTAGCCTTCTCCCCCGCAGTTGGGTGCTTTGGGCTGGGCTGAGGCTGTCCTACCAGAGGGTGTCATCCATAGTGGCAGTGGCAATACATCTTCCTGGGATGGGCTAGGATGGCTGCTAAGGAAAGGGCAGAACCCAAGGAGGGGTTCCTGGAAGATGCTTCCTGCCCAGGTGGTCTGGAGTGAGTGTTCAGGGCGACTTGGGACCACTCTGAACAGGGGTGGCGTAGGCTGGCCCTCGTGTACCGACATGCTCCGTCCTGGGATCTGCAGTCTCTTGGGAATGAGCAGCTCTCAGGGGTCCCCAACCAGTTCTAAGAATCATCCTTTTAGTGGATGCAGGGCAATGGCCCTGTGGGTGGCAACCACTGTCAGGAGGAGTTCTAGATAGGACCGACCCTGTCACTGTCAGTATATAGCTGCCAACTTGCTGGTACAGACATAGCCAAATATGTGCAACACTATCAAAACTAAGAGAGCCACCTCCTTACCTCGCAGAGGTGGACGGGGGACTGAATGGCACAGGATGGAAAGGGGCCTGACCAATGGGCTCCCTGGTGTCCTGGGAAGCTAAGAGGAAGGGCTGGAGCAGAGGCTGTGTGTCCTGTTGGCTTGTTGCAGACTGGGCACTACCACCCTACTCAAGCTGCAACACCCAGTTCAGGCAGCAGAGGGCAGCAAGGGGCCAGCCTGCCTGCCTGGAAAATGGCTTTTGAGCCCAGCTGCTGCTGGTTAGGGCCAGGCAGGCATGGAGAGGGGTGGGGAACCTGGTTGCGGAGCACAGCCTTCCCTTGAAGGCTGGTCAGGTGGCTTTCCCTCACCTGTCCTTTGGAAGTGTGGCTGACAGATGCTAAGTCCTTATGCAGCAAGGGACCTGGTCCTGCCACCTACCCATCAGGGAACTGGCACAGAGGTGCCTGAGGACTCCTGTCTTTAGTGGCTCAGAAGTGTGTGTGTGTGTGGGGGGGGGTGCCAAAGACACAAACTCAGCCATTTCTGTATGAGGAAAAGGGGAAAAAAAAAAAAAGGCTGCTCTAAGATTTATGTCACCTACTGCACCAACAGTGCTGTGGCAGTGAGCTTGCTTCTTGCCTGATGGCAGGAAACTGTGACTATAAGCAGGGCACCCTCTCAGTTCACCACACCAGCCCGCTGGGCAACAGGCACCCAGGAGGACTTCCTGCCAAGTGCCAGGGGGCTCTCCACTTGATGGGCTTCTGCCCCACCATTCTCCAAGCAGAGAAGGGAGGCTGTTGGGTGGTCCAAGGGGAGGTTTGGGAGGAATCTCACGGCTGGAAACTGCTACTCGGCAGGAGACGGTTTCCCAAGTCCCGGAGTGGATGGTGGCAGCCGGCCAGACCCAGCCTGTCCAGCAGCTGCAGCCACAGTGGGTGAAGGTGACAGCAGGCGCCTGGCTCCTCAGGTGGATGCTACGTGACTCCTGGCATGTCGCGAGTCAGTGTTTCTTGAGTGACCAGCTGAGCCAGGGATAGAAGTGTGACAGGAATGACAGGGAGGCAGGCACACTGGCCCCTCACATGCTGCTCATGTACTTGCCAGCACTCTCTGTCCTGCTTGGCACTGCCCTCCTGGCCTGGGGCGGGCACTGTGGATCTAGTCTCCCTGTAACTGTTCTTTGCTCCCTGGGTGGGGGGCCCTGCGGATGAGCCAGGGCCATGCTGTGAGCAGGTTGGGGCATGGCCCTCGCTTGGGTAATGCCATCACACTAATGACAATGAACTGATGAGGAAGGGCTGGGAGCCCTAGGCTCCCATTTCCCGCAGAGAAGGCAAGCTGCCCTTCCTGGTGGGCACTGACACAAGGTACTGCCAAGCCTCTTAGTCCAAGGGTTGACCAAGGTGGCTCTGGACTCCAAGGGCAGGTAGGACAGAGTCTAGAGAACACTGATGGGCTGGGCACCAGGGCAAGCAAAGGAGCCAAGTGCAGCAGACAGGGAACAGTCTGTTCAGCCACACCCTCACCTCCTCGCAGCAGGCAGTGTTTGGTGGAGCTAGCTCTCAGGAGTGCAGGTCCGGGGGGCACTGGTCTCTGACCAAGAGCCCCAGGGATCCTGACCCTACTTCCTGCTGGGTGCTGCCTCAACATCCCACGGGAGGGTGATGGTCCTCAGAACAGTCTCTCCTCGAGCGGTAGCAGGGCTGGGACAGTTGACCCATAGGTCTCCAGAAAGCTCTGCTGCTGACCTGGGTTGAATAGCTGTGGCTGTCCCTTGGGTCTGTTGGCTACAGGGTGGCCCCGGTGGGTGGGGTCAGAGCTGTGGAGCTGTGGAACGGCGGTGGGAGCCAAGCAGCCGGACTGTGCTGGCAGCTGCTGAGGGCCCCCGAGCAGTTCTCAGTGCATGGTCCGCTGGTCCAGCACCAAAATCCTTCAAAGCCTTTGCCTTCCTGGCAGGGCCTCGAGCAGGGCTGTGGCGGGGCTGGGAGAGGCCTCGGCGCGCAGGGGAATCCAAGCCCCAGATCTGCATCCAGAGGCGAGTTTCCCAGGCTCCTTCCTCCCACACAGCGGCTCCCTCCCTTGCTTCTGGAGCTGGGTCAGGCCTTTCCAGCCAAGTCCTCATGGCTGCACAACTCAGCCCCAGGCTGGGCTGCTCCTGTTTTGCAGAGCGAAAATCAGGGCAGAACCCAGAATACACAAAGGCCTGTCAGCAGCAGCCCACGCCCCTCCACCGGAGCCCAGCTTCCAGCCTGCCAGCTGCCAGTAAAGGACCCTGCCGGGGCTGGGGAGCCCTGGAGTGGCCACACTTGCACTGGAGCCTCTTGGTCTGGTGGAACACAGCCTAGAGCAGAGGCTTCTGGGACCGGGAAAGAGCAAAGACACAGAGGGAGCAGAGTCACTGCTGGTTGCACCTGGTATAGGCTGAGGGGTTTTGGGAGAGGCTCCTGGTCTGGCCCCTGCGCGACCTCTTGTTGGACTTGCTGACAGGAACACAAGCTGTTAGACTGAGTTTTCCCTCTTTTCATTTCCCTCACCCGCCCTCTGGAAGCGGTCTTAATGAGCAACTGAGCGGCTGCAAGGCAATCAGGAGGAGTTAGGCGGCTGGGGACTTGTGCTGTCTTCCCACCGACTGGCCTGGCTGCCCCAAGCCTCACCTGCTGCCTGTCTCCTCCCAGGGTCCTGGAGCATCCAGATGGAGAGAGGCAACGCCCTGGTGGTGCTCCGCAGCCTGCTGTGGCCCGGACTCACCTTCTACCACACTCCTCGCACCAAGAGCTACGGCTATATCTACGTGGGCACCGGCGAGAAGAACATAGACCTGCCCTTCATGCTGTAGGCCAGGGTGGCTGCTCTTTGTGGCGACTGAGCACTATTTTTCATAAACAGCAACTTTTGTCCTTATGTGCCTCTCCTTGTTGCCTAGACTGTCTGGTGTCTGGGCTCAGAGGAGAGGCCCGTCCCCCGAGGCCAGGAAGCCCATCTATGCAAGTGGCAGGGAACTTGTGCTAAGGAAAAAGTCACAGTGGAGGGGAGAAGACCCACCCTGCTGCTCCCTTGCAGCCCCTAGGCTGCCAAGCTGTCACTAACCATACATGCCTGTGACCCCCCACCTACACAGGTGCATCACATGGCCCAGCATGAGAGATGTGGGTCTCAGAGCTCAGGATCAGCTGCAAACGCCTGTCTCACCCCCAGTGAACACACACACACACAGCGGGGAAGCCCACCTGCCTGGTTTATGATGTTCCTTCAGGCAAGCCCCTTGTCCCTCAGCACTGGGCACAGCCACTGGAACCAATCTAGTGCATCAGAGCAACTGTCTGCCTGCAGTTCCCAGTGTTGCATTTGGGCAACCTCAAAGAACTGGAGTTAGTCCACTGTTCCTTGTGCCACTGGAGGTCATCCTGTGGGGAGCGCAGGAGTGAGGTTTGGCTGAGGGTTTGCAAGCTGGCTTCCCAAAGCATGGTGTAGACGTGGGGGGTGGGGCACTGGCCAGTCTCTGGAAGCTGGGCACATGGTCAGTGATACAGCTTCAAAGGTGTTCTTGAGTAGGAGACATTGTCCTTCAAGAGCGGTGAGCCCACGGGCATGCACACCTTGTTCCAGCGGTGGCCTTTGTTATAGATGGGCTTGACGGAGCGGGGAGACCAGCGGGTCAGGTAGCTGTGGAGGGAGACCGAGACGGGCCTGTCACAAGGACTGGAACCTGTCATAAGGACTGGAACTGGGAAAGAGGGAGCCTGCTCCATGGCCCAGGCCATAGCTGGCCAAGCAAACCCTCTGACCAGTTTTCCTTTTCAAAGTGCAGCGGATTTTCCTGGGAGTAACTGCTGAGTGTCCCGTAAACAGATGGGCTGGGCTCCTGCTGGCGGGGGGGTGGTGGTGGTGGTGGTGTGGTGGTGTAGTGTGTGTGTGTGTGTGTGTGTGTATGTCTCTATCTGTCTGGCCAGGGTCAGGCAGAGCTCTCTTGATCTCCCCAGGAAGGGCCTGGAGGAAGCCACCCCTCCTCCCATTGGACTCAGTCGCCCAGTAGGCCCTTAAAGGAAGCCCCTAGGGCTGCAGGGCTGGTGCAGGACCCCTGCTCCTCACCAGGCCTGGAGGGAGGCAGCCAAGGCCTGCAGGACTGGGAGGCGCCTGGGCCAGGAAGGTTCCTGGAAGTGGGGAGGGGAGTGAGGGAAGATGGCTGCCACCCATGGTCCTTTGGCCTCTTTAGGGGATGGCCAGGGTCCTGATAGTTCCTGGAAAAGTGGCTCACACCGGCCGGGACTGGGGCTTGCTTGGTCCAGAATGAGGATTTGGATCCTGTCCAGAAAGGCCCACCCGTCGCCTTGCAAGCTCAGCCCTGACCAAGGCCAGTGATCCTGCCCTGCCTCTGCTGGTTGAGGCTCAATACAGCTGCCTCCAGAGATGCTTGGAGGGATGTCTAATTTAAAAATGCTAACAATCTTGGCTACAGATTTTGTTAACCAAAAAGAGTGAAAAACGACTGTTGATTATGCAATTCAAGCAGGCTCCTGACCTTGTGCTGTCTGAGGGGAAGCTGTGTGAGGCAGTCAGAGGCTGGTCAGAGGTGGCAGCCTGCTCTCCAAGTGTGGCCTGGCTGGTGCTAGGAGTAAGGGGAGGCTGGGGGATGCCAGCTGTGAAGGGGCTGCTTTCCCATGGCTGCCAGTGTTGGGCAAGTTGAGGAACTCCTAATGGTCCCTGTCCTGGCCTTGCTCTTCCTGCCGCAGGGGGGGTGAGGAGGGGGTACTCTGCTCTTCAGAGTCTGGAAGATGACAAGCTGAGTGGGCTGTCCTGAGCTTCTGCCCTAAAGCTGGACCTTCCCCTGTGCCCTCAAAAGGCTGTAGGGAAACTGGGCTCATGCTAGCCTTGCCTGTGCCACCCAGGGCAGACAGGTGGCAGGGGCTGGGTGGCCTCTGGACAGCTCTTTTGGGACACCCCAGCTTCAGGAGGACTCTAAGCTCTTTCCTGAAGCAGCCCCTCCACAAGAGAGATGCAGCAGGAGAACAAAGAAGGGTTCCCCCGGGCCCCAGCCAACCCTGGGCCAACACATGGCAGCCGAGGGACCCCTGCATGTACTCCTAAGCATTCCCTGTAAGGAATCAATTCCCTTCCCCACACATCATCAATCCTGTGTCACGTAAAAGGACACTGGATGTATTGGGGTGAGCCGGGCCTGGCTTCCAAGGCCAGCAGGCAGGAGGGAGTGTCCCCCAGAATGGTGGGCTCCCCAAGTGGCCCACAGCAGAGCTGTGCAAAAGGGAAGGAGTCACACCAGCTGGCCTTGTGGGAGGTAGAGCTGGGCACTCTTCCTGTAGAGGGGCTGCAGGGTGGATGGACTTGCCAGGGTTGGGGCTTTCCTTTCCTCCTTTAGACAACTTTTCGGGGCTGGTCAGGCTGTCACAGGCGGCAGCGTAGCCTGTGAACTGCACACCTCTGAGAGCCGCAGCTGCAGTGCAGGCCACATGGTTGCTTCTCTGGAGCTGTGCAGTCGGTGACTGGGATGTCCTATACACAGTGGTTCTACTCCAGAGAGCCCTGCCAGTCTAACACTTCATTCTGCCCTCTAATAACCCCAGTGCCGGGATCCTGAAAGTTTGTAGAAGTGCTCTGACATCCCCATGGCAACCCAGTGTGATGTCATAAACACAGGATTAGCACATTCTAATGGCCAATCAGCTGCCACTTTACCCTCCTTGCTCCTGTGCTAAGCACCCAGCAGGGCCACAGGGAAAAGGACAGAGGCAGAAGCCCACAGGCGAGGCAGCAGAAGTAGAGGCTGCAGGGGGTGGGGCCGGCTACACGGGGAAGGCGGTGGCATGGCCAGTGGGGTGCTCTTCTGGGCTATGGGCCTGCACCTGGGCTGGGCTTGCTTACCGGTTCAGCTGTGGTTTGCTCTTCGGAACAACACCTTCAGGCAGCAGAGGCCTGTGATTCGGCAACAGACCTGAGGAGAGGGCAAGGCATACAGGATGGTTTTGGTGGCTCTTGCGGGCAGGTCCGAGGGAGTGGACAGACTAGCAGTGCTGGTGAGGGGTGTGTTACTGGTTCACTAGATACCTGGCTGGAGCTGTAACACCATCAGCCAGGTGCGAGCAGATGTCCCCTGCTGCCCCCTCCCTTGCCCCTCTGAGCCCTGGGGGGCCTTCTACCTGCACGGTGGGCCATCTTCACACACTCCTCAATCTTGCGGTGCTCCTCCTGGCACAGGCCGGTGATCTTACGGGGCAGCATACCCCCATGGGGCCGAATGAACTGACTGAGCAGCAGAACGTCCTAGCACAAACCCAGAAGGGAGACGCCGGTCAGCTGGGCAGGCTGGGGCAGGCTAGCACCCCCGGAGCGCTGTGGCTCTACGAACCTACCTGAAACTGCTCTCTCCTCCTAGAAGCCTGCTACCTTTACCCCAGCAAAGGCTAATCCCAACTAGGTAAGGCCGCCTGGGGCTCCCAGCCCCGTCCTGAGACATTTGGTAGAATCAACGAAGAGTTCTTCAAGAAGCATTCTTTTATGCACCTGTCTTTCTTGGTGAGTGTCCTTGGATGGAGCAAAGGGAAAACTTGACCTACTTACTCCTCAATGTCATGGACAGAGGCCACAGGCCAGGGGACATACAGGGCCTTCCTTACCCCTCTGCTGTTCCCACCGAGGCTCAATGCCAGTCTGCAAGCCCAGGAAGAAGGGGATCAAGGCTTGAAGGCACCCCTGGCAGATGTGCCTGGCTGTGTAGGTTTTCTTGGGGTCCTTGGGATGGCATTAAGGAGACAACACACACAGAGCCTGAACTGAGACCAGAGCACCTCCCGAACCCTACCTCTCGAGAGTGGCTGAGGGGTTAAAGAAAACTCACGCCCCATGCCCAGGGGAGAGCAGGCATGCCTATCCTAGCAGTCATGTTCCACAAACCAACTTGTGCCCTAGCAGGCGCCTTGCTGTATAACCACAGATTTGTTTTAATTACTGGACAGTTCCCGAGGGACCCAGGCCCCCAATTCCCACCCCTGTACTCTTCTGACTGATGAAAGGAACTTGGATGGGATTGATGCGGGACTGCCAAGCAAGCTGCTGGTGCTGCAGAGCCCAGGATAGCAGTGCCCCACGTGGAGAGAAGTCAAAGGAAAACAATGTTCACCTTTATCTCAGAGGCGATTCAATTTCTGCTGCTGAACGGGCACAACCAAGTCCATTTCCTGGAAATGGCTGGCAGGAAGTGGCTCATTGCTGGCTGGGTGACTACGGGGTTCCAAGTCTGCCTCAGGGACATGCCTGTCGCCGGAAGTTCTGAGCCCTGTCCCTTGGCCTGCATGCCTTCTACCACTCCCAGCAGCCACCAGCAGACAGCTCCCCTCCTGCCCTGGGGTGGCCTGAAGCCAAGGCTCCCAGCCCAGGAGATTAGTTGGCTCATTCTGTTCAGATCCCACGGGCATGTGGCCGCTCCTGTTCTGACCACCTGACCAGGATCTCTGCCCTTAGTCATCTTATTCCACAACAGGGTGGACTGGGCACAACCTGCAGGACAAACTGGCCTGAAGCCGGAACCACCTGAAACCCAAAAATAGGGTGCTCTGTGTCACTGGGGAGTGCTCTGAAGGGCAGGACTGTGTTGCTTCAGGCCCGCCCCAGCTGGGGAGAGCACACACAGAGGCACAGCCTGCACTGTGGGCGGGCATGTGGTGCATCCCAGCTGGGTGCCGGCACACAGGCTTAGTAACCCCTCCCTGCCGCACAGCTGCCCACGTGAGACCAGGGTGAGTGAGCCTGGCCTCAGAGGGTTACTGTGGGCGCTAAGTGGATTAACAAGCATCAGGCACTCTGAACAGGGCCTGACCCAGAATCTGCTCCATCCACTGCCCACTGTTGTTCACTGTTATCTTCTTTCCCTGGAAACGGCTGCTGCACAAGAGCAAGTGCAATCACTGTCTTTGTAGCCCCGAGATGGAAAGACAGTCATGTGTTCCCAGGTCACAGTGAGGGTCAGAAGCCTGTTCAGCTACCTCCTCGTTAGGCCCAGCTCATGATCCCAGCCCCACGGGAACACAGCCCCTACAGGCTGGATTACAGGGCCCTGGGGGTCTGACATGGAACCAGACCATGAACTCAATCGGTGGCTCTCATCCTGGGTTATACGTGAGAATGATGAGAGTGCTCAAGCCCCCCTTACCTTAGAGACCAACTGTGTGGGCCTGGGGGGTGGAGCCCTGGTATCATTATGCTTTTAAAGCTCCCCAGGTGGTTCTAATGTACAGCCAAGGCTGAGCACCACAGGCCAAAAAGCCATCTTTGGGCAGCTCTGTGGGGTGCCACTGGGGAGGATCCTGGGGGACACACAGCCAAGCAGAACTTACCTCATAGCCATACTTGTGCTTCAAGTTCCAGCGGCAGATGGGGCACTGCCCAGAGGGGTTAGGGGGACTGGGACTCTCCTTGGGAGTCTCTGTGATGCGGCCTTCGATCTAAAGAGGCAGGAACAGTCAGTCAGCTTGAGGGCCAGGGCCAGGGTGGGGCAAAGCTGGTCAAAGCTTACCACCAGGGGTCTGGGTGGAGCCAGCAGGCCAATCAACGTGAAGGTTGGGTTTGTTTCACAGTAATGGTTCCACGCTCCTGGCCCCGGCCCTAGCCCAGTCCTGGCTACTGAGAGTATCTGGGGAGTACAGCACACCATAGGAGCTCTTGATTTGCCTTGTCTCTTAAATGTAAGTAAACATTTAATTAGTTTCAAATGGCTCAGTGTGATGCAGCGTGAACAGTGCCTGCTAGTCCCTTGCTGTCCTACATGTCCACCTTGCTACTTATGTTACAGATCCAAGTGTGTGCCAGGGAGTTTAAACCAGAGGCAACCGTGCTCCTCAGCAGACACTTGGCAGTATCTGGAAATGTTTTTGAAGGTCATGGGTGGGGGAAGGAGTGGTTGCTGGCATTTAGCAGGGATACTGACCTGGCTACACTGCACAGACAGTGCCCCCCTAACAGAGGTACGCACCTTGAAACCAACTATGCCAAGGCTGGAGAGCCCAGAGCTACAGCTCAATGAGCAGATCCCTGTGTGCACTCCTGCTTCTCCCTTTTTATTGTTAAACACAGATGGGAGGACACAGTCTCTTTGCTTTTACCAATTTGGATGCCACCTTCCAAACCCTACTGGAGCCATGTGTGCAGTGACCTTCTCGCTGCTTGCTGTGTCCTGTGACACAGCCTTGGAATTATTAAGTGCAATAACACAAGCATATGGGTGTCAGCTCCAATTGCAAAAGCACGTTGGCAAGCCTGTGGACCGAGGCTGCAACATGGCTGGTTAGCTTTGGGAGGGAAGCAACAATGTCCTCTCCTGGTGGAGAACTGGCAAAGGGAGAGGGACTGCCAGCACGGTGCGGCCACTCTTCTGTGTGCCACGGCATCTGCAGCTAGGCCAGAGTTGGAGAGCTGTGGGTTAGACAAACCTGCAGGTGCATGAAAGGCCTCTGGGGTTAGAGAGCGCACGGGGGTGGGGTGGGGGGGACGATGCTAGCATGTATTGACTGTCCATGACATACCTGCTAAGAACAGTTCACATATACCATTCCTTTGGACCTTCCTCCACCTAATAAGACAGGGCACAGATCTGATTTTTATAGAGGAGAGAGCTTCTGTGGGCTTGGAGGGTGCTCCACCTCCCATGGATTCTCAGAGGACCACTCTGTCTCCATGCTCATCCCACACACAACAGATTCACAGTCCTGGTGAAGCCAGATATATCACTCTCCTCCAGAGTAGTTTATAGGGGGATGGCTGTTTTGGCTTTGAATTGGGGAATAAAAAAAGGCACCCTCGGGTGATAGGGAGCTCCCGTAAAATGACAAACTGGGGCTGAGCAGCGGAGGTGCAAGCGCAGAGGGAGTGTTGGGCGAGGGTGAGTGTGGAGACAGGATGGCTCATCCTGGGGGCGATGAGCCGGCTGGCTGCCAGCAGGGTTAAATCCCTGCTCTGGGACATGGAAGTCCCAGAGGCTTCTGGAATCACTGCGTAGTGCCTGAGGATTTCTTGGAGGCATGGAAGGCCATGTGAAAACAACGTTGTCTTTTAAGGATTATAGGATAATCTAGGCCCCGTGACTCCCCAAAGAAGGGAGGTGCGATGGGCCCGGGGAAGGCAAGGGGGGGCATGGGTACATGAATCATTCCAGCTTCCTTACTGACAGATGAGCCAGGGCGCCAGCTACTGGGGCCAGGGCCCGGAGAATGTCACCTTTGAAATGCCTCACATGAGGAGTAGCTTAGTCAGTCCAGGCAGAAAGGAAAGGAATTGAGGGCCAGGCTCCATTCTGGCTCCCTAGGTTGGTCGGCTATGCTGCCTTAGTTTCCCCTTTGGGAAACACAGAGGTCTCTGAGCAATTATCAGACAAAAGGTCACTTTAGTCAAGTAACAGATACTGCAGCCCAGGCACAGTGACTGGTCCTTATTAACTGCACTACAGTGTAGACTGTGGAGATTTATGGTCACTGAGGGAGAGGATCCTGGAGCCAGGAGTCCAGTGTGGGCCTGCCCCCTCCCCCGCCCTTCCTCGGAGGGGCTGTCAGGCAGTTCCAAGTATTAAAGAGGTTGTCAGAGGCCAACTCCATGATACTTACTATAGTTGTCTTCCCTTCTTGGATTTCTACCACTGCAGAGATAAAGGGGGAAAATTAGGCCAGCTATTTCATAAGAACAAGGCGTTTCAAATAACAGCTCAAATTCTACACACAAGGAAAAAAAAAAAAAAGAGGCGTTCAGCCTGCACCATCCCATGGCCCCCAACCGGGACAGACAGCGGGCAGGATTCAGTGATGTGTGCCAGGGCTTACGCCCCTGGGGCTGCAGGGAGTCAAACCCAAGACTCCTGGTTACTACCACTGGGATTAGGGGTCTCCACATTGTGTCTTCCTTTAGGAAAACATCTGATAGTCAAAGAGACAGGGGAAAAAAAAGAGGGATCCCATTAGCTGATTTGTGCTCCAAATGCTTGTAACAGCTGGCAGGGGGAGGGCTGAAGTGAGGACCCTGGAACTCAATCTGTATCTCTCACATGGATGGTTTGGAACTAAGTGTCTGAGCCATCACCTGCTGCGTCCCAGTCACACATTAGCAGGAAGTGGAACTGGGAAGTGGATCTTGGATCCAAGCCCAGGCGTTGGATATGGGAGTCCCAAGTGGCATCTCAACTGCCGTGCCATTCATTCCTGCCCCAGCCCCCGTGTTTGTCCTTCCAAGCCAAGATTCCTCTTGGTTCCACACAGAACAACTGGAAGAATCCGGCCCCATCATGAGAAGCAACCCCAGAGCTTGTCGGTGCAGAGACATCTAGAAGACCTTCAAAAGTTCCCCAAGTGTGGCCCTTCACAAAGAGAACGAGCCTGCAGATTCTGAATTGCAAGGGGAGCACCTCCATTCCTCAGACAGTGGAAAAAGTGTGAGACAATGCACACCAGCCAAGGCATCCACAGAGCTACCCTTCCTTAACAGGAGGCATGAGGACTACGCTAAGAATTAAAATGCCTAGCTGAGAGCCCACAATTGTTTCATAAAGTTACCCACAAAGATGTAGTCTTTTCAGAAAAAGCGGAAGCCACAGCTGTTAGCACGGGACTGTGATGTTCACTAAGTGGTAGCTAACATTTTTAGGGAGCAAGGCTTGTCACTCTCCTGACTGCTAATTACTGTAAAGGAAAATGTGGGTCCACAGAGCTTGGTGGCAAACTACCTTCCAAAATATGAAAACTGTATTTGAATAGCAGCATGGCTACCCAGTGTAGTGTCACTCTATTCTGGCCCAGGCAAGTAGTAAAACTCAGCACCTAAGTTTGTTTGTTTATTTTATTTTTTTTTGAAATTTCCTTATTTTTATCTGAAAGGCTGATTTACAAAGATAGGAGACATAGAAATATCTTCAATTTGCTGGCTCACCCCCCAAATGGCCACAATGACCAGAGCTGAGGTGATCTGAATTAAGGAGCCAAGAGCTTCTTCCAGGTCTCCCATGTGGGGTGCAAGGCTCCAAGGACTTGGGCCACCCCCTGCTATTTTCCCAAGCTATAAATAGGGAGCTGGACAGAAAGTGGAGCTGCTGGGATCAGAACTGGCACCCATGTGGGATGCTGGTGCTAGAGGCAGAGAAGTGGCTGGATAAACCACCATGCTGGTCCCAGCCTAGATTTTATTTATTTGAGACAAAGTTACACAAAGTGAGGGGCAGAGCAGGGCGAGACAGAACTTCTGTCCACTGGTTCACTTCTCAAATGGTGGCAATGGGTAGTGTAGGAGCTAGAAGCTTCTTCCAGGAATGCAAGGGCTCAGACATTTGGGTCATCTTTTGTTGCTCTCCAGGTCATTAGCAGGCAGCAGGGCTGGACTGGGGCAGTCAGCACTTGAACTCAATGTCCATATACAATCCTGGCATTATAAGCAGCTTTACCTTTTTTTTTCTTTATTTTTGACAATCTTTACATGGTTAATTAGGGCACAAAGGTTCAAGAGCTACAGGAAAGTGGGTAAGACTATTCTTGCCACATTCTATTTTTTTTTTCCTATATCTGGAGTAAATGGGGAGATAAAGGGAGAAGGCCCACCCAGCCTCCCACCCATCCCAGGTCCCCAATGCTCTGAGGTTCTGGTTCAAGTGGTTTTGATAGTTCCAACAGTTATGAATTGCTGCCAATCTTGCCATTCCAAGCACGATGAAGTCACTGCAGAATCCACTGATTGACATAGTCCATCTTAGAGTCTCTGTTTGCCCAGTTTTTCACTGCCAACACATGGCTGGGGTAGTTGGTCGATTAGTTCTGTTGTGGTGTCAGGTATCCTCTGCAGGTTCCGATAGACTGCCATATTCTCCATGTGCACCTGATTGTGCTGTCCACTGCTCCGTTGGAGCCTCTGAGGAGGTTCGGTTCCGGCATTTGCACTCCATGGCAGATCATGGAACCTGCATTTCTCTTCATTGTTGGGAGTTCTGAGTCCGGCAGTTCAACTGGGGAGATCCCTAAAGAAACTGTCTGAGGTGATCCCAGACCAGATTCTTGTGTGTACGTGCCAGTAAAGAGCCCTCCACATTCCCCCTACCAGCTTTGCCCCCTCCCCTCCTGATTCTCACACGTACTGGTGGGGTGCTGTGGCCCAGCCTGGCACGGCCCCTCTCACCTCGGTTTTTGCCAGTGGGTGCTGTAGCCTGGCCCGGCCCAGCCCACCCCCCAATTCCAGCTGACTCTGGTGGGGGTTACAGCCTAGTCCAACCCAGCAGGCACCCAATCCCAGTCGTACTGTGTACTGGTATGCATTGAAACTGAATCTGGCCCGACCTACACTCTGTTCCAGGGCTCGGATTCGCCAGCGGGTGATGTAAACTGGTTCAGCCTAGTCTGCCCCCGACCCATGGCAAATGTATGCCAGTGGGGAACTTTCCATGGCCTGGTCTGGGCTGTTTCCTTCCATGCTTCTTGCGTTTACCTGCAGAGAATGTGTCCTGCCAGAGGAGTTGCCCAGGCTCCTCCATCAGAACCTCTCCCAATGCCAGGTTTCGTGTATATCGGTAGCTCCGTGAGCCAGCCTTACTCGGTCAACCTTTTGTCCTAGCAGGGACAGTGGTCTTTCCTGACTGGTCTTCAACCCATTCTGGTTCTTACTGTTGGATGTTTCAGCCCAGCCAAGGTTTGTCCATACCCAAGCACAGCTCACACATGGCTCAGTAGGGGCAGAGACCAAGGCTAGTCCATCCCACATCTACCCTGGTCCTCCAGAGCACCAGATAGTGCTGGATTCTAGCCTGACTTGATGCATCTAGTCCCAGTCCACACTTGTGCCAAGGGAGACTGCAGCCATATGCAGACCAGAACACAGCCCCCACTCCAGTCCCAGCACTCCTCGGTGGGAACCCCAACCCAGCTAGAGTGTCCCCTTAAGCAGCTTTACTTATACACCACAAGTTCCCAATCTAAGATTCTTAACTTTGAGAGCCCAGAGTGGGGCTGGTGTTGTGGAATAGCAGATGCCTCCTGCAATGCCCATTCCATACGGGCAACAGGCTCAAGTACCACTTCCAATCTAGTTCCCTAATGCACTGGGAAGGCAGCGGGGGATGGCCCAAGAACTTGGGTTCCTGCACACATATGGGAGACCCAGAAGCAGCTCCTGGCCGCACCTGGCCCAGCTCCAGCCACTCTGAGGCCATTTAGGCAGTGAACCAGAAGGTGAAGTGTTCTCCCTTGCATGTTCTCTTTCTTTCCCCCTCCACCTCTCTAATTCTGCCTTTCAAATAAGTAAGTAAATAAATAATGTTTTTAAAGATAAAAGCCCAGTGAAAGCTATGGATCTCTCCCAAGGGAAAGCCCATAAACACAGACACAGTGAAACACAGATTTCAGGGGACTCATAGTCCCCCAGAGTTATCTGCCTATGGACTGGTAATAATTCCTTCTGAAAGTTTCTAAAATCAACATGTATTGTTTTTCAAATAAATGAACAATAAAAAGAGAACAGAATGTCTTAAGAAAAAAAGTAATTCTAACCCAAGCAGGGGCCCACAGCAGCATCTGTGACCGACACCTAATTGGACACAGACGGCCAGCAATTGTTCTCCCCTTGTTTTCTGTGCAATAAAGACTCATTACTGCCAAACAGTCAACCCAAGCCCCTCAATGTCCAACTGCAGAAATACAAAGGAGTAACAATGGCCAGAGGACACTGCAGTTGCTAATCAATTCAGAATCCAAGTAGGTCTCCCGTAGTGAAAGCAAATGCGTCACTCCACACCCAGATCTGCTGGTACAGAACAGAGACCAACCCGGGAACAGGCTGTGGGTGAGAAGGCAGGCCACTGCCTTGTTGCAATCTGCACATATAACCTACAACAGGGGTGTGTGTGTGTGTATAAAGGGCTCTGGAAATTTGCAAAGACCAAGTCAAGAGACGGCCTGAGAGCACCAAATCTAAGCAGTAGGTAGCGGGGAGAAGTGCCTGAAACTCCCCATGGAAACCAAAGAAGACACATTCTGGTACCACTGGAGTCAGTGTGAGAACAATGCCCTAAAATACAACATGTGGTTTCCAATAGTGAAGGCACTTGGGCCCTAACCATGAGGTAAACAAGTTTAACAAAATACACATCACTCCCGGCAAAGAACCAAACCCTGAAGTCATCCCACTGGTCCCTGGAATGGAGATCAAAGCCCATGGCAAGCTCCACTGTTCATGAGCTCTCCCCACAGCAACTCTGAGCCAGTGAATCATCGTACTAGAAGCCAGTGGATCAAACACAGGCAGATGCTTATCTGATTGAGACAATTTGTCAAACCAGAGGGAATGACCTGTGAACTCACATGAGCCTGAGATTAAACAGGGTGGTGTCTTAGCAGCAGCAGAAGGCCCAGCTGGAGCTGGGATATATATTTTTTCTCCTTTTCCCCTTTAGTAGATTTTAAGCCTCTGGAAAGAGGAGATAGAAATCAAAACAGTATTGATTTTCAGTGTGCATAGAAAAACATGTCAAACCCAAACAAAACCTGAGGTCTATTTTGCCCCTGGCAGCCTCTCCATTTGCGAGAAGTGGGGATGGCTAAAAAAATCAGGACTAGGAGATTTAAACACTAACAGAAAGCTTGTTCAGAAACAGATGAAATTTCTCTAACATATCCTGATATCAACAACATTAAAGAAAGAGCTAAAGCATTTTCCTATATGGGAACCAAGGGCCCAAGTTTTTTGAGACAGATGCTTCTATACACCAATCATCCTGGATGAAGCAAGGTGTTTTCTGAGGACCCAGGAAGTGCACAGCCTTGTTCCACCTCCTGTGGAGACTTACAATAGAACAGGCGCACAGTCTGTCCTACAGGAGGAAAGTGAAAGTCCTTCAGGAAACACCCGCCTAGGATGGAGGTCAAGACGACTAGAGCAACCAGCATGGTGGGAAGGCTGTGGTGAACACAGAAGACCTTGATGGACACGGACACGGACACACACACACACACACACACGGAACTGCAGCCGTCAGAGACTCCACCATCTAGTAGAGAAGGAAGGCAGGGAAAATGATGAGATGGCCACTGACAGGCAATGGCCAAGGAGACCAAGAGTCCTGCCGGGAAGGACCTGTCTACGCCAACACCCAAACAGGTAAGAAAGAATGGAGTAACGATGGCCGCACGTGGCTTCAACAGTCTTTTGGAGGGACGGGGAGTATAGTGCGCTCACTTGTGGCCGTGGATAGCTTTTCTCAAACTCGTTCCTGCTGCAAGGATTGCTCCTGTAGCTCATCTTTACGTTAGTGCTTCCTGATTGGTGCACTGCTTCCCCTTTATTTTCCTTTCAAATAAAAATAAATGAATCTTAAAAAAAAAATTCTACTTTATGGATTGTTAAGAAAACTGGAGGAAAGTGTGTGGAAAACCTAGCACATTACTTGCAGGTGGGCACTCAGGAAATGACAACTTCCATGTTTGTTCCCTTTTAGCCTTGCTTCTCCCTCAATAGCCTTTTTTTTTTGAAAAAAGATTTATTTTTTATTGCAAAGTCAGATATACAGAGGGAACGAGAGACACAGAGGAAGACCTCCTGTCTACTGATTCACTCCCCAAGTGGCCCCAACAGCCAGAGCTGCACTGATCTGAAGCCAGAAGCCAGATGCTTCTTCTAGGTCTCCCATGTGGGTGCAGGGTCCCAAAGCCTTGGGCTGTCCTCCACTGCTTTCCCAGGCCATAAGCAGGGAGCTGGATGGGAAGTGGAGCTGCCAGGATTAGAACTGGTGCCCATATGGGATCCTGGTGCGTTCAAGACTAGGACTTTAGCCATTAGGCTACTGTGCCGGGCCCCACAACAATCTTTTTTGGCCATGTGTCCCTCTTATCAAACTTTAGATCAGACTTTCTCAACTGCAGCAGGTCTGACTTTTTAGCCAGAAGGTTCTTTGCTGCAAGGAGTTCTCATCTGCACTCTACCAGGATGCCTGGCAGCATTCTCAGCCTCTACTCAACGGCTGCCAATCATGGCTACCTCAAATGTACCTAGATATGGCCACAAGTTTCCTGGGGCACCAACTGCTCCTGATGGAGAACCACTGCTTTAAGACTCAAAGTTTTGGATGGGATTACAGAGCTTCTCAAATTTGACTAGCAGGTTTCCTGGTGGGCACTGGAAAGCCCTCCATTAAAAAACAGACTGAAAAGTCTTCATAGCCCTCATCAACTCTGACTAAAATTATCTCTGAAAAATAGGATGCCTGAATGAAAGATGACTCAAGTATTTAGGTCCCTTCTGTGCCCCTGGGACACCTAGATGGAGTTCTAGGCCCCTGGTTCTGTCCTGGCCCAGCCCTGGCTGTTATGGTCTCTTGGGTGGTAAACCAGTGGATGGATGGCATCTGTACGTAAGGCTTCCTCTCTCTCTTTGTAACTCTGCCGTTCAAATAAACCTTAAAAAAAAAAATCAAGATGCTTGAGTATTTTCAGTAAGAGAACCTCATTTGTCTACACAACTTTCAATTCTATATGTATAATACTTGTGCATCAAATATATTGGCTGGGGTCAATCAAAATGAGCTGTATGTACAGTAAGTCATGCCTTCCAGAGAATGGGCAGATTATAAGGCAAAGATCTTTTTTTTTCACATAAGGCTCAGGAGATAAGCAACTCCTGAATGGTAGTGCCTTCACATAACTGCACACCAGTCTGACATTTAGCTTTTAGGACTGATAGCAACAAAGGAGCTATCAACCTAAATATATATATTTTAAAGGTTTATTTATGTTTATTGGAAAGGCAGATTTATAGAGAGAAGGAGAGACAGAGAGAAAGCTCTTCCATCTGCTGGTTCACTCTCCAAATGGCTGCAATGGCCAGAGCCACCCACGTGGGTGCAGGGTCCCAAGGTTTTGGGCCATCCATCCTTTACTGCTTTCCCAGGCCACAAGCAGAGAGCTGAATGGGAAACGGACCAGCCGGCAAATGGGGCACCAATATGGCACCCTGGCACTTTGCAAAGGGGGGATTAGCCAGTTGAGCCAGGCCCTAACCTACATATATATATGTATATATATATAACCTATATATAAATATATAACTATATATAGAGAGAGGGAGGAGGACTTCAGAAACTTGATTATCCAGTCCACCACTTCATAATCTTGCCAAGTAAAAAAATTATCTGAATCTAACCTCAAGTACTCCTGTTTCTCTCTCATATACACATTTTCTTGTCTTTCTCCTAGGAACACAGGAAAGAGCTGCTTCAACTTTAAATTTCTTTTTTTTTTTTAAAGATTTATTTTTATTATTTTTTCATTGGAAAGGCGGATATACAGAGAGGAGAATCTTCCGTCCGATGATTCACTCCCCAAGTGAGCACAACGGCCGATGCTATGCCGATCCGAAGCCAGGAGCCTCTTCTGGGTCTCCCACGCGGGTGCAGGGTCCCAAAGCTTTGGGCCGTCCTCGACTGCTTTCCCAGGCCACAGGCAGGGAGCTGGAAGGGAAGCGGGGCTGCCGGGATAGAACCAGTGCCCATATGGGATCCCGGGCATGCAAGGGGAGGGCCTTATCCACTTGCGCCACCGCGCCAGGCCCTCAACTTTAAATTTCATAAGGTACATGAAAAGCAGCAGCTTTTCGAGGCTAAGACTGGGTGGGTAGGGCCTGGCACAGCGGCCTAGTGGCTAAAGTCCTCACCTTGAATGCCACGGATCCCATATGGGCGCCAGTTCTAATCCTAGCAGCTTCACTTCCCATCCAGCTCCCTGCTTGTGGCCTGGGAACGCAGTGGAGGACAGCCCAGAGCATTGGGACCCTGCACCCGTGTGGGATACCCGGAAGAGGTTCCTGGATCCTGGCTTCGGATCGGCATAGCATCGGCCATTGCGGTCACTTGGGGAGTGAATCATCGGACGGAAGCTCTTCCTCTCTGTCTCCTCCTCCTCTCTGTATATCTGACTTTCCAATAAATAACTAAATCTTAAAAAAAAAAAAAAAAAAAGACTGGGTGGGTAATCCCAAGGGTCTTACAGATATGCACTTACTAATGCAGTATGGGCAGAGATGAAACACTGTATCCAAGGCTGCTCTTTCTTTACAAACAGATTAACTTTATCGGAACCAGATGGTATCTGGACTGAATTTTCTTTTAGCAAATGTTTCGTTTTTCATCATAGCCAAGTTTTTCAAACATATATGCTGTCTACATGTTTCCATCACAATCCTTTTTAGAAATGTATTTACTTACTCTATTTGGAAGGCAGAGAGAGAGCTCTCAAGCTCTGGTTCATTCTCTCGATACTGCAGCCCCCAGGATAGGGCCGGGCTGCAGTAGTTGGGAGTTCAACTTGAGTCTCTCACGTGGGTGGCAGGGACCCCTGTGCCAGTGCCACGTTACCTGCTGCTCCTACAGCGTGCATGAACAGGAAGCTAGAAATCAGGAGGGGAACTAGGACTGGATACCCAACCACTTGAACACAGGATGTGTCTCAGCCAGCTCCTTAACCACTGGACAGAACTGCCACCAACCCGCCCTTGATTTCTACAAACTGGATGCATGGTTTAAAAGCTAAAAATGGAGACCTCTTCTGAGACAAATGTCGCAGCTCGGGCACTGAGCTTTTCTTTCTGGACTCTTCTCCCAGGGACAACAGAAATCTCTCCTTTTTACTCGATATTTCTCTGTTTTAAAGGATACCTCTGCTGGCCCACATCACACCAGACCCTTCAAACAGCCTCATGGCTCAGCCTTTTTCACAGTCCACGTCCCGAAAACAAAAAGCCTTATTCTTCTACAAGGCCATTCCAGGCACATCCGCCGCAGGAAAACTTCCAACTGTGTTTGCAGTTTTGTGGCGAGGCAATCTCCCAGTACTCGCAGGCGGCGCACCTGCATTTGCTGGCGTGTACGGACTTCATCTTGTGCATCACCTACACTGCACATCATTCACATTTCATCTTCTTTTTAGAACTTAAGCGTTCCAGAAACGGGCTTCCCGTCCCCCACCCGCCTCTCTAGAATATCTTCCCTGCTGAAACAGCTCTTAGCTTTTAGTAATCTTCGAAATCCCTGGCTAACTGGCAGGCCTTTCTCTCCGTCTCTTCCTCTGCCTCGTAAGGACACGTAGGAAGACACAGAAATTCAAGAGAACAGCATCAAGGTTCGGAAGGTGCTTTCTCAGCACGCCCGAAGTTCCAGAATCCGGAGGGCAAAACAGGAAACGGAGGCATACCGAGGCTGGCGTTTAAGTATTCTCGGCCACATTTCGGGAGACCTCTGGGACCCGAGACTTACCTTCCCTGTACCCGCGCGCTGGGAGCTGAGCACAGCTGGTGGCCGCCGGGCCAGCCAGCAACTTTTGGAACGGCCGTCCAAAACCGGACAACAACCCGATGAGGGACGCCATGCTGAACAACAAGCCTGACCTCGTGTGCACTTCCGCTTCCGGAACGGCGCGCGCGCAGCCGCAGTGGTGCGGCGGGAGCTGAGCGGCGAGCTTTGCCGGGTGGAGAGGTGGGTTCTGTGTTGGCCGCGGCGGCCTCTGTGTCAAGCCTGCGCTTCGTTCTGTGCGCCTGGGAGAGGTCTTCCAGCTTCCCAAAGTAAAGTCACGGGCACCCTTCCTATTCCTAAAGGTCAGCTGCGGAATTTCAGCTTGAGTGATGGAGAAGTTGAAATGATGAGGGGCTCTGGCCGTGGAGTATTGTCAGGCTGACCTAGGGTGGAATGAATTGCCTCCTGCTTATCACCTGTTTCCTCTCTCCCATTTAAAACATTTTTGTTTATTTCACACAGACAGGCCCCACCTGCTGGTTCTCTCCCCAATGCTCGGAGCAGTTGGGGGTGGACCAGACTGAATCTGAGAGCCAGGAATTTTCAATCCAGCTCTTCCACGTGGGTTACAAGAACCCCAGTGGCTAGAGTCATCCAGGATGCCTCCGTGTGTGTGTGTGTGTGGGGGGTGGGATTAGTAGGAAGCTTGGATCTAGAGCCACATCTGGGCATAACAGGCTGGCACTTTGATGTGAGATACAGGTACCCCATGTCTTAACCACAAATCTCAGCTTGGGTTCTCATCTGTAGATTTTCTCTGCTCCAAGGCCTTTATACAAGCTGTGTGTTCAACCTCCTTTTTAGCTTGATTTTACTTTTTTAAAAAAAACTGATTGCTTACTCTTTTACTTGGTTAAATCCTGCTTCCTAGAGTTCACCTCAAACTTCATTTTTGCAGTGTAATCTGACCCGGGTTACTGGTTTTTAGCACCTGCTACTGCTCCATCCTAGTGCTTGGCACGATTGTAGCTTTATTTTTGTTTATATAATGTGTATCTCCCTTCCAGGCTGTTGTTTCCATTAAGGCAGGATCATTTTGTTGACTCTCCTATCTCTAGTACTTAGCATAGTATTTTGTATATAATTGTGATATAATACATATTCCTTTAAAAAAGATTTATTTTATTATTACTTTTTTTTACTGGAAAGGCAGATTTACATAGAGAAGAGAAGAGAAAGATCTGTCTGCTGCTTCACTCCCCAAGTGGCCACAATAGCCAGAGATGAGCTGATCTGAAGTCAGGAGCCAGGACCTTTTTCCAAGGCTCCCAAGCAGGTGCAGGGTCTCAAGGCTTTGGGCCATCCTCGACTGCTTTCCCAGGCCACAAGCAGGGAGCTGAAAGGGAAGTGGAACCCATATGGGATCCTGGTACGTGCAAGGCAAGGACTTTCACCACTAGGCTATTGCGCTGGGCCCTATATATATTCTTTTTATAAAAAAGATGTTTTATTTACTTAACAGGCCAAGTTAGAGAAAAGAGAGAGAGAGAGAGATTTCCCATTCAATGGTTCACTCCCCAAATGGCTGCAAATGGCTGGGGCTATGACAAAGCAAGGGGCTTCATTGGGGTCTCCTATGTGTGTGTGCAGGTGTCCAAGAACTTGGACCATCCTTCACTGTTTTCCCAGGCACGTAGGCAGGGAGCTGAACTGGAAGTGGAGTAGCTGGGATTTGAATTGACACCTGTGTGGAATGCAGGTGTTGCAATGACAGCTTAACCTGCAGTGCCAGCTGCATGCTATGTACTGGATGAATGAATGAGGCAGATTTATTTTTCTACAACACTGGCCCAGAATCTACTTTGAAAAAAAAAAAGATTTATTTGAAAGGCAGATTTACAGAAAGAGGGAGAGATGCCCACAGAAAGAGATTATCCATTTTCTCATTCACTCCCCAAATGACTGCAAAGGCTGGAGCTGGGCCAGGCTGAAGCCAGGAGCCAGGAACGGCCTTCAACTCTCCTGGCAGGGGTGGCAGGAGCTCAAGTCCTCAAGCCATCTTTTGCTGTCTTCCTAGGCACATTAGCAGGGAGCTGGCTTGGAAGTAGGGCAGCTGGGACCTGAACTGGGAGCTCATGTGGAATGCTGATGTTGAAAGCGATGGCCTAATCCACTGTGCCACAATGCCAAGCCTAAATATAATCTATTTTATAGAGTTGTGAAGATTGGATGAAATAAAACATTAAGTGCTCAGTCAACACAAGCCAGTTAATAGGGTAATTCTGGGGATAGCGCTTCATAAATCTAACATTCTTGCGTTACAAGGAAGCATGCAGTGCCAAGAAGAAAACACAGCTGCCTTCTTTTCCCTCTTTGCAGATTCACAGCAAGTGTGGGTTCAGAAGCTGCCTGAGAAAGGAATATCCTTCCCAGCGCAGTTCTTCCGCAGGATGACCAGGATACTCTCTTCCATTGTCCCTAATAAATCTAAAGGGGGAATCTCTTCACTCATCCACTCTGATTCACCCATGGGGGAAATCAGGTTCATATTGTGGCACAGCATGTTTCCCAGTGAGGGGGAGCGAGAAGTGGGCCCTGCCACCCTGGTGGGTGGGGAGATGCTGAGCAGGCCCTAAGTTGGGAGCTTGAGCGGCATCCCCAAAGAGGGAACAGATGTGGAGTTGGGGTGCCTTCAGACAATGCATTCTGTAAAGACAGAAAGGGGAAACTTCAAAGAAAGGTAGGTCAAGGTGGAGAGACTGATAGAAGTGAAGGAATGGGGCCCAGGGTGTACTGGGGTATAAGTCCAGGTGACCCCACCAGGATTAAAACGGCTTTGATTCTTTCTACTGCTTCCATTTTTTTTTTTTTTTTTCTGTCAGGATGACTTTGAGCCACACCCTCTGTACCACACCCCCATCTCTCTATGAGTGCCCAACTTCTAGACAGACCAGGCCAGTTAGAGACACCATTTTGGTTGTTTTTGATAGAATGAGTTGACCCATTCAAGTGCCAGTTTTCTCCTTGTTATCTTATCCTAACTTATCATAATCAGATTTTATTTTGAAAAACAATTTCTATTTTCTGCCATGACAGGTAGTGTGACAATTGTGGAAAAGCAAAACAATAGATAAAAGAATAAATATTATTGGTAATCCAAAGATAAGCATTTACATTTAGCAAAGTCAAATAGTGCTGGACAGATTCTTTGTTTTGCAATGTCTTATTTTTTCTGAATCCATTTATTGTTAGATCCTTCATGAGAAACAATTCTGGGAGACTAGATTTTGCTCACAAAACTTAACTAGCCTTTTAAAGAAAGAAAGAAACAAAAAACAGCCCACAAAGACTTAGGTTTTTTTTTTTTTTTTTGGTTTGTTTTCAAGTACGCTTTTTCATTGAAGTATAAAAAGAGCACTCAAGTCTTCAGAGTAGAGTTTCTTGAATTTTCCCAAAGGAGACAGCCCTAACTAAACCAACAGTGAGACATGACAGGCATTCTAGAATGTTCCCCACTGTGCTCCTTTCCAGGCACCACTCCCAGTTTTCGGTTCCATAAATTACTTTTTTTTTTTCATGCATTTGAACTTTGCCATTCCATGGTGAGTATATCACAGTCATCCTTATTCTTTCATTTGTCACTAGTATTTGAATTCTTTCCATTAGGATGATTGCAAATAGTATTGCAACACACATTTTCCTACATGACTTTTGGTGAAGACAGAGCACAGTTTTTCAGGAGCCTATAGCTAAGAGTGGAGTTGTTAGGTTGAGGAATGTGCATATAGCAATAACTGTTTCCAACTGTCTTCCCTAGTGACTACTCTCTTAGCAGCCATAAATGGGAATTCCAATTGTTCCTTATACTTGTCAATGTTTGAGTTGGAGGGATACTTCTCATTTTGCCATTCTGGTTGGTATGCAATAGGATGTCATTTTGTGTTTATTTTCTGTTTCTCTGATGCCTAATGAAGATGAATAACTTTCCTATGTCTATTAATTATCTAGATCTCTTGTTTTTTCAACATGTCTGTTGAAGGTTTTGACCTATTTTATACTGGATTGCCTGGTTCTTTCTTTGAAAGGCAGAGAGGAAAGACAGTGCTCCCATCTGTGGATTCACTCCCTAAATGTCCACAGAGATAGAACTGGATAGCTGGTGCCAGGGGCTGGGAACTCTGTCTCCCACTTCAGTGGCAGAACGCAGCCATTAGACCCATGATGACTGACCTCAGGGCTCTGCAATAGTAGGAGCTGGAGTCAGGAGTTGGAGCTAGATGTGATATGTTCATGCTCTGATCTGATATGAGGCAATTTGAACTGCTAGCCTACGTGCCTGCCCCGTCTTTTTCTTAAGAATTTGTATTTTTAAAAATATATATTCTGGATCCTTATTTTTTGTTAGATATATGCACTGTTGATTTCATAGCCTGCAGTATAGGTTGCCTTTCCATCTTCCTACAATATATTTTCTTTTCTTTTTAAAGATATATTGGGCCCAGTGTGATAGCCTAGCAACTTGGGTTCTTGCCTCGCGTGCTCCACAATCCCATATGGGTGCTGGTTCTAATCCCAGAAGCCCCGCTTCCCATCCAGCTCCCTCCTTGTGGCCTGGGAAAGCAGTTGAGGACGGCCAAAAGCCTTGGGACTCTGCATCAGTGTGGGAGACCCAGAAGAGGCTCCTTACTCCTGGCTTCTGATTGGCTCAGCTCCAGCTGTTGCGGCCACTTGGGGAGTGAGTCAATGGATTTTCTCCTCTCCTCTGTATATCTGACTGTCCAATAAAAATAAATCTTATAAAAATATATATTTATTTTCATTGGAAAGGCAAAATTTCAGAAAGAATATAAAGAGAAATAAATATCTGTCTGTTGGTTTACTCCCCAAATGGCCATAATGACTGGAGCTGAGCCAATCCAATCTGAAGCCAGGAGCAAGGAGCTTTTTCTGGGTCTCCTGTGTGGGTGCAGGGTCCCAAAGCTTTGGGCCATCCTCTACTACTTTCTCAAGCCACAAGCAAGGGGCTGGATGGGAAGTGGAGGGAGCAACCAGGATATGAACAGGCACCCATATGGGATGCTTGTGCTTGCAGGTAGAGGATTAGCCTGTCACCACGCTGGCTCCCTACAGTATGTTTTCGAATATATTTATTTACT